TGTAATGTTAACTTAAAATAATTTCTATACTATATATAATTTCATAGTTTTCATGGTTTTAAATCCTAAAATTATATTCTTTATCACATTTTTGAATTAAATAAAATTTTAGATAAAATTGAAAAAATTGTGAATACTTGAAGTTTGAAATGAGTTACTAATGTTAAATGTATATGTTACCAGCAATGTGTTGAATTCAGTACTATATATAAATCCTAGGTTAGGTTAGAACACCAAAAATGAGCAGGAAAAGTATAGAATGTAATACAATGACTAGGTATTCTATAAATCACCTAACCTCAAGCAGGAAAAGTATATATAATTAATATAAAACTTAAGATTTGTACCTAGTGTACCTCTGTAATCAACGATTAATGTTTTTAATGTTTATCTTGACGATTATGATATCGCATACAATACGTGTGCGATGTATTATCATTATTATTAGCTAATCATATTATCATGTTATTTGTGTATACAGGAAAATTCAATATACGTCTTTAAAAATATTATTTCTTTTCACTTTTGTAAATGTTTGTCGTATTAAGATACATTAAAATGTCTTAACGTTTTTATGTTGAACTATAAAGAAAAGTCAAAAAATATTGTTAATTTATCGAATGATAAATTGAAAATGTCAAAAAAAAATGCTTATGTGTAAAAAATAATATTATATGTAGTTTTAAATGTCATGCATCAACTATAAACTGCAATAAATAAATAATAAACAATAAATAAATTAACACATTACCTAACAAAGTATAGACGTTTTATAAAAATCCTAGGAATTGTATAGAATACCTAGGCATAATATAAATTACCATTTAAATTTATTACATTGCCAAATAGTTCAAGGAATTCTGTAGAATTCCTAGGGAATTTACAGAGTGTCTATATTCACTACTTTGCCACTAGCATATACATTTTTATAGTTGGTGAAAATATACTTATATTTTTATAACTACTGTTTCTTTACAATAATTAAATAAATTATTATTCTGAAAATAAATTATTTAAAAGTTGAAAAATTGATATTACTTAAAATTAAGATAATTTAATCTTACTGTACTTATATAAATTAAAGATAGATTAGTAAATAAAATTCTATGTACTATGTAAAATATTAACTTATATCATCTCTAAGTCATGATTCAATAATTTATTTCAAACATTTTTATTTAAAATAAAATGTTAGTTTATAATTTGCTCACAACATTAGAACCATTAACTTTGTATTCAAATTATCTCATTAAACACTTTCTAAGTTGCAATTTAGGTTAAGATATTTACCTACAAAAAATTACATCTATTATTTATATAAAAATTATAGATACTAACTATAAAGTGTACTTAATTGAATTGTTAAAAAATAGCAGATTAGTCATATTAATAAACAACATGATAAATTATTTATTTACTTATTATTTAACAGATTAAACACATAATAGCTATGAAATTTAATTGTACCTATTGAATTAAAATAATAATACATATGCTAGCTTTTAACAATTTAAAAACTAATATCACCTACCTAAATTGTATATTTATATATTTAAATAAAAAAATGCTTGATACTATTTTAGACTTAATAAATAAATAAAATCAATCTTTAATTAAAAACAAATTTAAATTATAAAAATAAATGTGATATATTGTTTTTCAATAATTAATAACAATAATAATAAATTATGTAAAATAAGAAGTTAAAGTACCTATCAAGGCATTTAATTATTTTAACTATTAAATACCTAATGACTTAAATAAGCAATATTACCTTGAGATTCAGGAAATGTTTTTTTTTAACCAAAAATACTGAAACATACACATTTTTTAATCTGAAATGGCCAATTGGTACACAATTAGGTTTTATACTTTGAATAGACAGGCTATTAAAAAAACTAATTTAAGTATAAATTTTTTATATGAAAAAAAAAATATTTAACTACCAATTTGAAATTAAAATACATTTTATACCTAGTAATTGTGATCTTTGGAAATGAAGATAATCATTTTAAATTTTAATTAATAGCTAATCATTTATATTAGAAATAATTCAATTTTGCTGCTAACAATACAATGTAATATGATTACTACATTTAAATTAAACATATACATATAGAAGTAGTAACAACTATAATTTAAAACTTAAAATAAAACTGTAAAATTCAACATAGAATAAGACACAATCATAAAACAATTAAAAAAAAGTACTTATAGTGTTTTGAAAAAATGGATTCATTCAAGTAAAAAAGATTGATATTTATAAAAATATGTAATGAAAATAGTACACTCTTATAATGTGATTATTTTTGTTTTTAATTAACTTAATTTCATATATTGGTATCAAAAACTTAAAACAAAAAAATGAAGAATGTTAATAACAAATTTTTTAAGCTATGATTTTTCTCAAAAATAGAAGGTAAGTGTTTATATTTAGATAACTTTCATAGCTAGTTGAAATTGTAACATTAAGTTCATAAAAATAGTAAAGTTATTTGAAATAATTATAAATCAATTTAGATCTGTTATATTATATTTTACCTATTAATACTCACCATTCAACACTTTAAAATGTAGATTAAACACTTCACCTCTTATAGCTCATTAAAAATCTAATGACAGTTTTTGGTTTAACAAAATTTGTTATCTAATATATATGATTTTAAAGTTCTTTTTTTTATTATTGAGTTAAATATTTAAATAATTAATTAAATAACTAAATAATTAATATTAGAATTAATATCTTTTTCAAATAAAAACCTACTTGATATATGCTAGAAGAAAAAAATAATATATAAATAATTTGTATAAAATAAGTCATACTTAAATATATTTTAACAATTTGAAAAATATAAAATTATTAACAAAGGAACTTAAATGGTATATTATTTCATTAAAAAAAAATAAAAATATTTTTATTAAATTATGTTCACTTAACATAGGTAGAACATTAATCTTTTTATGATCATTAATTAATAACTTTATATTTAAATAGTCAATTATATAATTTTATTTTTATTATTTTTGAGTTTAAGTTAGTTTTTGACATTTTTATTGAATTTATAGGAATAAATAAATTTTTATCATTTTAAGTATATTATGCTTAAATATAAAAATATAAAGGTAATCCTAGATCACTAGGATAGTATTTTTTTTATATTTTTAGTTAAGTATTAATAATATAATAAATATCTATAATAATTTAATTGATATTAAATTAATAATACAATATTTTTTGATGAGGAAAACAACCAAAACAACTAATAAGAACTACATTTTTATACTTATAATACAGATTATTAATTTAAAAATAAAATTGTTATTTTCTTGCTATTAGTTATGTGATAACCTGGAAATTAAAGTTAATTTTCTTAGTACTATTTCATTCTTAATTACCTATTACATAAAATGTACATAATTAATAAACATATTAAGCAAAGAAAATTATTAATACTAAAAATAAAAACCATTTATATATTCATTTCATAATATTATACTGAGTAATAATACTAAAACTAATAGACTGCACGATACATAAGTACCATTGTAATATAAGGTAATATATTATCTTTAATGTTAGGTAAATGCTCATTTTTTTTTCAACATAGGCTATACTGAAAATATGTAGGTACAAGTATATTACAGCCATCAACTTGAATGTGTAAAACTTTTATTGCTTTTTATCTTAATAATTATTTAACAATTATATACTACAGTAAAAGTTAACCGCTTACCATTTACTATTTAAAAATTTTAAGCCTAACAAAAGAATAAGCTAACAAAATTCTATTTGTCTAATTGAATATTTTATGTATATTTGTATATTAATAATAATTAATTTAAACACATTAATAAAGTAATGTGCTTACCTCTAAAACGTCAGATTCTTTGTCTATATCACCTCCTTTCTTTTTGGACAGTTGCCTCTCTTTTTCTTTCTTAATACAGTTGAATATGCTGTCTAGTTGAGTTTTTTGCTCAAATATAAATGCTGGATGATTTACAGCTAATGTGTACAATACCATAAGCTCTTCAAATGCGTTTTTATCGTTAAAAAATGCTTTTGGACACTTAAATATGCGTTCTAAACCTTTGTCGTCTGTTAGCGCTTTATAAATTAGCTCCGAACACTTTGTACTATTAGTGTTTAATACAGATAAATACTTGATAACCGCTGCCCTAACAGTTTTATCGCAAATACACTTGCAAGCTACTTCACTAACGTTGGCTGGATCGTTGGCTTCAAGTTCCAATTTTTTCAATATGTGAATATCTCTTTTAGACAAGTTATCTAAACAAGTGCCGAGGTACCTCAATTCAATTGGAAGACAGTGGCTTTGGAGTCTACACATCATCCAAAGCCGTTCGTAGCTTTTAAGTGTTTTGAAGTAAGCAACTACTTCGTCTATACAAACCATTTTCGGGCAACATCACAAATGCGATTGAATAACTAACACAACATGATAAGATTACTATTTACTAATGTAGTAATGTGATCGATCATTCACAAATAACACGGGAAACTAGAAACTATAAATAATCGATAAACTCAAATAACTCGCGTATGAAGAAAAAAAATTTTGTTCACAAGTCAGAGCACCTCTCGTCCTCCGTCGAATGTACAATGGGAAGATGATTGACCAACGACAAAAGATTAACTGGAAAATTCCCTCTATACAATTTTTCTCCCACTAAACATCTGGATCATTGTTCAAATTTTGTGCATAAAAATCCAAAAATAATTGCATAATAAAAAGTTATTTATTCAAACGCTATTTTAATGAAAAACATATTTTATACAAAAGAAAATTTTTATTTTTATTAATTTTTAGTTTATAAAATATGTATTTTAACATAGGCATTCGGGATGTCTACACTGTAGGTTTGTTGATGGGCACGTGCTGATATCACTTATTTTATCTAGTGATAACAAATATTCAACTGATATGACTTTCATTAAGTTTTTGTCATTTTATTTTTTTTTCTAATGACATATCTGCATTGAAATAAACATTTAAATTTTTATATATTGATTTATAACACGTATTCAATGATTACTTATATTCATTTAATAACAGAATGATAGTAAAAAACTGTATTAGAGGATTGTTTTGCCGCTTTGTACAAACGATAAGTTGTGTACGAAAAAATTCAACAGCAAAATATTGTTTGGAATTAGTTAGGTAAATATTTGTGCACAATAAAATAAAAATATAATTTTTGTAAAAAAAATTACATGAACATACTAATATATTGATTCGATGTATAGAATTTTATTTGAATAACAGTGGTTCATTATGTATTAATTAGTAACAATACAGTTATATTGATGGTACTTTAAAGTTATTAAATAGAAGACATTCAATTTATTTCTAAAGCCTAGCGTAAATTAATCAATAACAGCCTAAGACTAAACTTTAATATTGTTTCAATAATATTTTATTTTAAGTTATAACCATGATATTAAAATTATGGATTCAGTATTTTATAAAAATCTGTTATTATGTTTAATATCTTACTCACTGGTATGCTCATTATTTTTGTGAAGGAACTTCATTATTTTAGATAACTACATCACACTTTTTATTTTCTCAAGTGAATACCAAAGTTTGATAATATATTTAATTTGTATTATTATCATAAAAGTAGTTATAATTTCGATTTTATATTTTACTTCAAATCATAGTTATGTTAGACATGACAAGTTTTCTTTGTATGTTTGGAAATATTGTCTTTTAATTATTATTATTTAATAAATATCATATGAAAACGTATATACAGAAATTGAGTAAAATCAAATTTCTCTTTGTTATTAAACTGTTTTTTTTTTTATTTTCTTGAATTTTACTGAAATAATGTGAAAATATCTGTTCTGAGGTATATTTATTTAAATTTTTTAATTTGTCTTCTGGATCTTTTTGAAAATTTTTACTGCTCTATTAAAGTTCTATAATTATGAAATAAATAATTTTATGTAGATATTTATAATTTAATTTTAAACAAAATTTCATTACTAACAACCCTAAATAATGATAGGTTACATAATTATTTATTAACAAAATAGTATAAAATAGTTTAAAAACATGTTATGTAAATACTTAGGCATTGGAGATTATGAAAATGTCCTATATACTGTATTGTGTAAAGTTCTTTGTTAATTCTAATTAAATGTTGATAAAAATCTAAGCAAGAAATATATCTCATAGACGCTATAACAATCATGTTAGAGAAATTGTATACTGTAATTGTAGGCTATGTTAAATGATTTGTTGATATCCTATTTAAGTTTCAGATATGATAAAATTTAATAGCTAAAATAAAAATTTATAAAAAATTGAATAAGTAAAAAAAAAACTAAAAATTACTAAATTGAATTGATTATGTTTTTGATCATAATTATATTCATTATTAATGATTACTGATGTTAAAACTGTAATCATTATATTTGGCGATAAATAAAAGTTGTTATGGTATAAAATATAAATATTTGTTAGTCCCAAGAACTTCTACATACTCAGCCGCTGAAGACGTATAGTTTTATTTAAAAACTAATAAATGAAATTTTATCTATAAGTTATTAAATAATTATTAAAAAAATATTGATAACCTGTCTTGAGAGAATGTTAGTTAAACAATTACTATCTCTGTCAAATGCATACAAACTGTACTTCTATGTCAAAACTATTCTTTACATTTATTATTTTATAACTAAACTACTCTAACTATGAAAACATAACATATTAAACAATTTACAAAAGTGTTGGTATTCTATAGATGAGTTCAATAGTTCAAATATTAATTAATTATTATAAGCTTCACTATGTTATAACTAAGGCCCGAATTTAAATGCACCTTAAACCATATAAATATGCTCTAAAAAATAGCCAAAAATGTCCTTAAAAAATGCATTTTTCCACAAAAATGACATATAATTTTTTATACAATTTATAATTTATAAATAAGATTTAATTATTTTTTATTATTTTATTAAAAAAAAAAAACAGAAAATTTGATTGATGTTGACTCGCATATATTTTAGCCATTCTGGAGAAATATTATTCATTCTAAACATACTAAAATACGTATATATGTATTAAAAATTAAATTCTAGGTAAGCCTATTGTACTTTTTATTTGTAATTTGACTGAATACGGGACATGGATGATGCTCCACAGTCAATAATAAATTAAGATAAAAACTGAATTGAATAATTTATTTTCAGGTAATATTTTGAATTGGCTAAATTTGTATAGTATATTGAACATATATGCATTAAAAACCGACAAAATGACCCAATAATGCTAAAAATGAAAAAACGCCGAAATATGCAAAAAAATGTAATATAAAATGTGTAACTATGAATCCCTTATTTTATGAAATGGATTATGTACTTGGAACGCATTGTATAAGATCAACCAAAACAATATACATTTTGCATTGAAATCCGGGCCCTAGTTATAACTAATAAAAACCTATTATGAGACAACAAGTTATCACTTACTACATTTTGTAATAGGTTATGCTTACTTAATTTGAACACTTGACTATCAAATGATAAATCTAAAGAGTGGTTTTCCTATAAATATGTGAAATATTGGTAAAAATAACTAACATAAGTACATTATATTAGGTAAAATTTAACTGTTCGCAGAAAACATGATTTTGAAAATTATTTATGTACCTTATTATTACACAAAAATATAAGAAGAACTGGGTTTGCTGTCAGAGCATTTAATATTGAAATAGCAACTCTTCAAGATCAAATAAGTGATATGAAAATTGGAGAAATGCGGTTTAAATTTTGGGAGACATCTTTAATTGAAATATATAAAAATAAAATCCCAAAACATCCTGTGCTTATTGAACTTTATACAGTAAGTATTGAATAAGCTATTTATTTATAAAACTAAAATAACAATTTAAATTAACTGTTGCAGGCAATAAAAACACAAAAATTAAGTATAATATATTTGAAACGTTTAATCTCATCTCGAGAAAATTATATGTTAAATTCATCTCTAAAAACCATTGAAGATTTGGAAACTTATGCTGAAAACTCTGTTTCGCCAATTTATTATTTGTTTCTAGAAGCAATGGGTAAGTATTTTTTTAGTAATTTGTTTGTTATATTTTGTTTGTATGTAATAAATATGATTACTTTATTTTTCGACTTTCCATAATAAGAATTATTAGTTACTATTTAAAAAAAAATTATTTATTTCTGTAACAACCAGTATAAATAAAATTAGACAAAAAATTTAAAGGTATTTAAACAAATTAATAATAATAATTTTATTTACAATACAGTAATACAATCAAATTTAGATTTTTATATCATAAATGACCATATGAAAATAAAAGATATTCTAACATAAAAATAGAAAATTATATCAATTAAATTAATGTTATATAATTGATGGTTAATAACTTATAATGTCATTATCATTTTATCATATTTTAATGATAGCCAACTAAGAACCTTTACTTAAAATGTTTAAACCGCTATTTAAGTGGGTATGTTATTTTTCGTTAATATAACTATACAGAATTAATGTATTTCAATAATTAGATTTGTTAAAATATTACTATGTTTCTAAGTTCTTAATACTTGGTCACTATATTCAACGACACAAAAACTGACCCCTGTGTACCGCAATCCGCCACCATTTCCCTATCCGATAATCATGGGTTCTCAACCTATATCATATACTACTTAATAAAAATATATCAGTTAATTTAGTTATGTTATGGACCCCTGTGGCAAAACGGTCACTCGGTTCTGACGGTCAGAGACCACTTTTCATATCTTCAACTATATTAATAGATAATATTATAACTTAAGATATCTATTTATGTATTATAAATTGTAATCAAATTTTTATGAAATATTTTGTGATTAATTACAAAAATATGAAATTGGATTTAAAAATGTTAACCTTAAGATTATATAATTTGCAATTTTCTATGTATTATGTTTATATTTTAATATGACTAAACATATATTAGTATATACATTTTAATAATCGTAATAAATAAATATTTATTTAGAAATATTTTTGGATATTTTTACAGAGATTAAAGATATGACAGTTGACCATACTGTAAGTCATCTAGGTAAATGTCAAGGAATTGTGAACATTATTAGAGGTATTCCTTATAATTCAAAATCTGGACGTATATCAATACCTCAAGATATCCTGTTAAAATATAAAGTATCTTATGAAAATATTATAAGAAATTCAAGTGAACAGAAAGTGCGTGATGCAATTTATGAATTGGCTTCAAGAGCTAATAGTCATCTAATGAAGGTAACTTGAAAATTCATTTTGATAACAGTCAACATATTATTATAATTTATGTGTTAAAAATGAATTTTTAGGCCAAAAAATTAGAAAAGGAAGGAAATAAACGTATCAAATCAATATGTTTACCATTTGTTCCTCTTCATTTGTATTTAGAAAAACTTCGAAAAGCAGATTTCAATGTATTTGATAAACAACTACAAGAACGAAATAATTTATTACCTATGAAACTATTATGGCATAAAATAGTTAACTAAAATAATTATTTAGTCAAATAGTATTTTTAAAGTTTTTATTAGTACACTTTTGTATACTATGATTGAGAAAACATTAAACCACTTTTGTTTTCTCTATCTTAAAAATGTACATCAGCAAAATTGCGTTTAGTAGAACTAATTTTATTTTGTTAACTTTAATACTAAAGCGAATTATACTATTACTAAACCTAAAGATAAGAGGATTAAATATGTTTTATGATATTTTAATTATTTAGTAATTTATGAGCATTTTTAAATAGCAATATTTTACATACTCATAAATCATTTAAAAATGTACAATTTGTACATACAAATACAGATGAAGTTTTTCCCTAAATTAGTTAAAAGATCATTTCATTTAAATATTAAGACTAATAACACAAAATTGATTCTGAAAATTTCAAATTTGTCTATGTTATATGTTTGTGAAATAAAAACACACTTACATGCCTTACTTCCTCTTTACAATTAAATGTTTATTAATAATGATTTTAGTGTTATTTAATTAATTTTAAAAATTCAAAAATTAGTCTATAATATTTGTTGTATGTTGTTTATATAAAATAAAAGTGTTGTACTCATTTGTTTGTTGTATAATATGATAGATAAAATTTTCTACTAACATTTCATTAAGTTAATAGGGGACTATTGAAAAACTATTATTAGCACGGTTTTTTCATCTTAGAACTAGCATTAAACTTTTTTCACCTTTATTATTTATAAGTAATTAGTTTTATTTTATTAATTTTTATCTTATTGATTAATGACATCATTAGACAATGGTCAACTTATATTAATGCTTATAATTTTATATTTATATAGTATAACTTGTAAATAAATTACTGATTCATTAAAAATAATTTTCAGACAAGATATCTAATGGTACCAAAAAGTACATGTATAGAAAATAATAAACTCAATTTGATTATTTTCTCCATGCCAATATTTTATACATATATGATAATAATATATAATTTTAAAACAGAAATTCATTATTCATTACATTTTAAAATTTAATGAATAACATGACCAGAACTTAGGATTTTATACATTTATATTATATTTCTTAAGAAGCTGCATTTCAAAAATATGATGTCTATACAAATTTGTTTCATAATAACTCAAATTCAAAAATGTATGTTATATATTATTCATATATTATTAAATTCAAGTTATTTTACTTATTTTAGATTGAATGAATATGAACACATTTTGTTAATAAATCGACAAAAATAAATTTTATTAATTGAAAAATGCAAATTAAAAATAAAACGTATTCATGTATCTCTATAACCATCTATAGTATCTATACTTTGAATCATATAATGTATTTAATTTTTTTTCTCTGTCTATATCTATGTAATATAATGCTTAGGTATTTTTGCATATTACTCTAATTAAATCAATTGTGTACCTGTTTTGTTTTATATTTTTATTCTAATATAAAACAATCAGTACCTACCTATATTGATTAACATATTCAGTAATTTAAATATATATATATAAATAAACAACGTTAAAATATTCTTTTAGGAAGTCACTCATCAGTTAAACCTATAAACATTACTTAATATTATCTTTTTTCACTAAAATAGTAAATCACGATTCCAATTATGTTTGAGCTTATGAGTTTTCTGGAATGTGAAAGTATAGTTTTGTTTTTAATGAATAGATTAGTACTTAAGTTTAATTTGGCATAAAAGTGGTTTTAGTCGAGATTTTGAAATTGAAGACATTTTTTATTAATAAATCTTTATGAAAATAAAGGATAAAGAATGGTATGGAACACCAGTTAACGTTTTGAGAGCCGTACCTATTACTCTGCGACACTGTCCAATACAAATTGTATGCATATTATTATTGTGTATAGATGCACTTGTCAGTCAACTTATGAGACTATAATAGATAGTAGTATAGTATTACAAATACAATGGAATAGTTTATCTACAATTTACAAAAGCGCCATGACAACCATAAAACATAACAATTTTTTATTATGGATCTAATTGCATAAGTCGATGACGCACGTAACAAACACTACCAGTGGAACTCAATCCGCAGTGACGGTGATGCGTACCGATCAATCAGCGCCGCGTGAACTGAACTATTCGCAGAGCGATGTTGCGAAATGGACGAACAAATTTTTGGACGCTAAAACACTTAAACAGAATACTGTAATAGTATTTGGCATGCCACGGTTAGTTCGACCACCGTTTCAGGAATACTATACGGTGAGCAGGTACTACGGACCAAAACAATTCGTTCCGCTCATTTACCGTGCAGAAGAAATGTTTCCAAGCTCTGAAGGCGTTCCGCGCATTGAATAGTAAACTAAAATAACACGTAAAACCTATCATTATACATACGTACAATGTACATAGATATCTATTAAATACGTTGTGTGATAAAAGTAAAATCAATTACTATAATAATAATATATTTATACGTATAAGTAGGTACATTAGATGCTTACATTGATGTTTTATTTAATGATTAGTTTTTGTTTAGCTATCTATTAATTTATAGAAAAATGCACTATCTTCAGTTTACTATAAAATATAACGTCCTTAAAACAAAGTTTAAATTAACAATCCATTATTAAACAAATAAATTTAGTTTTGAAATTTTTTATATTTTTCATTATTTCTGATTTACTAGGCAATTTAATATTATTAACTATTCCCATATTTCGTTAATTAAACCTTATATTTAAATGCATTTTATGAATTATTCTTTAATTTCTGTCTTAAAAATATTTAACACATCCTGTATGAACGTTGTACTTACTTAATTAATTATATCGTTAATTTAAAATATTTTACACTTGATAGATTTTTATGATTGTCAAATATTATGATTCTTAAATAGGTATATACTTACAAACTACAGTTCATTTTCTACTTAATTTATTGATATTATATTAAAATACATATAAGTGCATATATGTTAATATATTTTTTATATGTTTATAAGTGCACTTTTCAGGGTATTAATATTTTATGAAAATGATTTTAATATTTTTCAAAATTTTAAGTTTATTTTTAATGCATTAAATTTACAGCCCTAGTTATAATAATATTTGCATAATTTTTTTTAATTGCCTTATGTTTGTGCTTATAAATTAAAATTTAATGAAATATATCCTACTTGATAATTATTATAAATTAATTAAAAATTAAAAAGGCATTTTAAGTATCTAAATATCTACATTGAAGCCATCAATATGGCATAATATAATAGATTAGAACGCTTATTAGTTATTGAGCGAGTAGATACAGCTAGCTTAGCTCTTTGTTATTATAAAACAGAGATGGCTAATATGAATATTGTGTTCGTTAACCACAAGAATAAATACAATAATACCAAGATACAAAAATGTTTATAAATACATAGTAATAATAAGTAAATTTTGTTTTTATAATTAGTCATCTGACTATGATGAGAGCAATAAATTATAAAAGATAGACTTATCACCTATCTTCTTCTTCTTCATACGGCCCTAATACTCTTTAAGAGTTTTCACCGCCATAGACTTATCACCTATAAGATAAATTATTACGTGAGTCGGTATGATTTAAAAATTTACAGTGTATTAAATTATATTAACTCAGTTACAATTTTTTTCATCATTTATTTTCTAATTTTAAATACCTATCAGAAAAGTTTTGTTTTAGGGATTTGAAAATTAAATTAATTATTAATTAAGTACTTTATGGAAACCGCTATTGTTTGTTGTTATACTTTATTAGATTCCTACCTAGTAATATTTCTTAACTAGTGGCAACTAGAAATAGAACTGTTATTATATTTTGGTGTAAAAATGACATTTTTTTACTATGTAAAAAATAATTATTAAAAACAATAAAAACACATTTCATTAATAAAATATTTATAATTTAAAATACATTTAACTCATTTAAGTTATTATTTAGGTATCACTGTTATAAATTACATCATGTTTGTTAAATTTCAAAACTAGTAGATACCTACTTATCAATATAGCAGCTTGTAAAAAGATAAGATTTTTCTGTGATCGCTAAGTACCTAAATACCTAATGTTTATTTTACATTAATTACAAATACCTACTTTAAATTCAAAATAAAAATAGTATTTAAAGATTTTAAAGAAAAGTAAACTATGTTGTATAAAACTTTAATAGATAGTATTTAAAATGGTCTATACTTAAATATTTGTTGATAAATTATAGATAGTATTTTTTAAACTACTCTATAACACTAACGATTTATAGGTAGGTACCTGCATATTATTGCTTTATTAATAGTTAAAAATAAATTTATATATAACCAAACCTTAGGTCTTAATTCAGGATTTTAAAGGAAGTTATTAACATGTTACAAACAGCAAATAAATGAATGACAGTTTATTTTTATACTTAAGTAACACAGTATAATATTTAATAGGTATATAGGTAGGTAGTTCCGGAATTTGATTAAAATCCACCATTGGAAGAAAGTATAGAAAAAGTATTATGTAGGTAGTATTTATGAAGGGATACCTACTTGATTATAGAACACACGAGCACACTTTCAAACACGATTTTAAAATCGTACCTAAAAAATAATGTAAAATAAAATAGTGGAACTACCGTACAAGTTTGTATTAAAATTAAAATAGAACATGAAAATTTTTTAAAAAAAGGTTGTTTCTTATTCAGAAGTCAATTTCTTTATGTCACCATTCAATGAATCGACGCTAGACTGTACTGCAGCAGCGTTTTCATCCATTTCCTTGCATTCCGATGATTTCTTGACGTTCTTTTGATGCATCTCTTGACAACTAATATACATATTTATATTCATCTCATTTAATACATTATATAAAAGAATAAAACAACTTACTAAAATTAGAATATCAAATAATACAATTATTAAATATAATTTAGAGTATGTATTAAGATCAGCTACTATTTGAATGAACGCTACGAATTTTAAGAGTGTATAGGATGACTACGATGTTGCATGAGTGCATGACACATATACGTATTGTATTATGTATTCATACATGGCATCTAATAAATTTCAATTGTTTCACTCATATTATTAAATTATAAAAGTTTAATTTTTATACTACGAATTTGAGAACATTGAAGTACCTACTTACTTTAAATTGTTATGGAAATAATTGTACAGTAGGTATATCTATGAGAGGTCGTGTGAAACAGTAGCTAAGATGTGTAAAATAATTTGAGAGTATGTTTAAATTAAAATATTTATTTACCTAAATATTTATATTTTTGTTTAAAATGTCTTTGTAATTCAATAGTATAGGTAACTATTTAAGTATAAAGTAGATTGATACTTACTATCTAAACACAATGATGAAAATTATTAATATTTATTACAATTTTACGGAAATACAGGTAGGTTGTAACTTGTAGGTATGGTATAATAAAAAACATAAAAAACTCAGTTTTAATATTTAATAAAATATGTCAGATTAGGCAAAATAACTTGTAGCTAATCGTTTTATTTATTTAAAAAGACAGATCAAATGATATTTTTTCATTTTAAAGTTACCGTTAAATAAAATAATAAAAAAAAAATTTAATTTTCTTATGTGTGAAATATATTCTAACTATGTATTCAATTTGGTAACTTTCGAGTTAGTAATGACAAGAATATAATCATATTCTTAAACATCAAATGATAAGATTAAATTAAACCTATTTTAGTGAATAGATAGTCAAATTTCAGATTAATTGTATTCTATACATCTAACAACTCTAATTTATATCGAATATTGCAATTTCATTTTAAAATTAGTATTTATATACGCATTTAAAATAACTAAATGATTTTAATTTTCAAATGAATAATATTGTTCCTTACGCTTTGCCTAAGCCGGTGTATACATTCAACACATAATCCAGTTCATTTTGTTTATCGGCAATCTCTGCTTTCAAATTGTTGATCTTAGAACGATAGTATTTGGATGATTCTTTGGATCCATGTGAACGTTTCAGTATAATCGTTTGCTTCTGTAACATGAAATGAACAATTTAATCTATTCAACTATTCAAATGTAGGTTTATAAATATAGAATATTCAACAATAAATAAAGTAGTATTTACTTCCACGATTTCAGTTTGCTCTTGTATCTTTTCCATCATTCGTTTAGTGATCTCGGCATGGTTTCTGAAAAAAATAATTTTTATTTGAAAATAAAAATAAAATTTTAACTCATCTATATTTCTCTACACATATAATTTGTATTTTAGTTTAAGAGTTAATATAATAGTTGAAATCACATAGGTAATATTCCTATATTAACGATAGTTGTTGTTATAGTGTAATAAATAAATAATAATACATTTAGACACATATTTAATCACTAATTATTTACTTACTGAGCTGCTTCTCTATCCTGCATATCTACCATGAGTGAGTTTCTGCGTTTTTGATTGATTTTCTTCATCAAAATTTCACTTTTAGCCTTACGCTCATTAAGTTTTTGTATCAAACAATCCAAGCTTTCTTGAGCCGCTTTTAACATCGCTTAATAATAAACATTTATAAACTATTAATAAATAATTCTCAATCATAAAAATATATACAATATTATAATATTAAACTAATACTTATTAGTACATGAATACAGTGGTTAGAAACTTTTTAGACTCTTGAGCCATATTAAAAAAATAAAAAGGTTTTGTGAACTGGACAAAAAATAAAAATTCAATATCCTTATTTTAAGCATTTATTTTAATTAATTAAATATAGATTTAAGAATACAGTTTACCTGAAAAAAAATGTATGAAAACGTTATCGGTATCTAGGCTATATGATAAATTTTTAAATTTTTCATACAAGAAAGTATACCTGTTAACATGGGTGTCCTTAAGGGAAGCACTTGCCCCCCTAGAACTTTAAATTTATTTCCTAATTGTAATAATGACAAAACATGATAATGTATTATAAATAAAATGTATAAAAAAATCTTTATTTATTTTTTAAATTAATTTTGCCCCCCCCCCCCTAGAAAAATGTGTGTGGATGCCCATGCTTGTTTACACCATATACATCTAAGTATATATTTTCTTAGTTATATTTCTAATTTTAAAAAAATGGAGGGAGTTTAGCAAACAAAAAAGTAAACCTTTTTCAGGTTTTTAATTATATCTTGTAAACGTTGACTATAAAAACTAAGCATAAATCTATTATTTTTTAATTTTTGAAGCTTAAAATCAATATTAATCATATTCATAATTGAACATTGTTTACAATTTTGAATGATTATTAAATTCATATTGTATAGTTTTTAAAGAGTTTAAACTAATATTTAATTATTGAATACCTATAAAATTGTTTATGATTCTAAAAGATTTCATCATTTTGGAGCAAGTCCAAATATATAATAGCTAAATAGCGTCAAATTCATTATAATTTAGTCATAAACAGACGATAATAGTGAGATTTTACAACAAATTTTAATTTATTTCTTAGGTAATTATTGAATATTGAAACATATTAGCATTATATACATATATGGATAGATATATAGATCAGTAAATCATTTTAATTGTTTAAAAATAAGCTGATAAATAGCTGACTGTAGGTAAGGGAGTTTACCAATTGCGCTCTTTACAGTTTAGGGTCGATAGACCAATTGCATTCAAAACATTTTAAAATACTTAATGAAAACTTATTATTTATTTATAATTATATAATAAATGAATACACGCATCGATTATTTTGTGAGTATAAATACATAATACAAAATAAATAAATAAATAAGTATAGTCAATTATTCAAAATTTAAATACAAACGCAATTGGTACATTGTTCCTTGACAAAACTTTATTTTAAACGCAATTTGTCCATGCCCGTAGGTAATACTTAAAATTATTTTATCAAAAAACAGAGTATCAGTGCTTAAAAATGTTACCCTCATTTTCCTTTTTCTTTTGTAATGTTGCCTCCATCAACTTCCTAACAGCATACTTTTCCTTATTTTCCAATTCAGCCAATTCGCGTTTTGCTCTTTCTCCTTTTATATGCATAGCTCGCATTTCCTGAGGAAAAAATATTAAAATTAATAATTAAAATTTCTTGATTTTATTTAAAAAATATTTAATAAACATATTATGTAAATTGGTTAGTACTTCAGAGTAAATTGTTTATTACAGCTATATTTTTTATTTTTACGCGCGTACCTATACCTATAGACTCAACATAAAAATTAACACAATATAATTAAGGTTCAGAAAATCAAAGATACAATACCTATTCCCGTATACACATTTTAAATAAACATAAAGCAATTAAAATAGATATATAATTTTGGTTAATAAAATCCTATGAGTTCGATAAATTTCCTTAAAAAAAACTAAAACATAGTTCATAACTACAAATCAAAGTCTATTTTAGACTATGGTTGGTCAATACTCAATAATAACTATTAACTTATAACTATATATATATATATATATATATACCTAATCTAAACTTTAGTAAAATAAAAAAATTGTTGGCTATTGAGGTGGTATTTTAAAGGTAATTGTGATTTTTAGATTATTCGTTTTTTCAAAATATTGTAAGTACTTATTTATAATTATTATTTTCTAGGTGTGCCTACTTTAAATGATAAAATTTAAATGGGTAAGTATACTTTGATAAACAACTTGATTTTTGATAATTTAAATTATGTCATTTCTAAGCATCAAACATAATTAATCTTCGATATTTACAAAAAATTAAATAATTATTTTTATAGTTTTGCATATATTTCAACATTATTTTATAATATACCTTTTTGATATTTATAAGATAATATTTATCTACCCATTAACCAATTATCACTTACAGTTGATATGCATTATAAAATCTATGAATGCTATGAGATCAATAGATTATGTCTACCATTAAATTGAACAATCTGAAAATTATATATTATTTAAAGTTAAACTAGAAGTCTAAGTAACTCAGTTAATTATAACACAAAATAAAAACTATACCTAATAATATTATTTATACTGTCCAATTTTTACTTATTTGCATTTGATTAAAAATAGTGACCTGCAAACTAGCCAACTACCTATCTACTCATTGTCGACGCAGATAATCCAATAAACTAAGTATAAACAGAAAATTAAAAAAAATATGTCTTTTTGCTTTTTGAATACACACAAATATTCGGAAACTATTACGTAAATAGCATATTAATCAATTTTAATTTAGTTTCAAGTAATAATTTATAATAGTAATGTTCATTTTTTCTAACAACGTTATAAAGTAATAAAATATAAAATAAATTATGTTGATAGTTGGATAATCTCAAAAGCTATAAGATTGTGCTTTTCGAGAATTATATAAATGTTACATTAATTTAACATTATAAATATAAATTAACAATTTAAAAGAATTCACGATTTTTAATTTAAGTTTAATAACAATATTATACAATATAGTCATAAAAGAAACATAACATTATTGAGATAGTTTAATTAAAATAATAATGGGCGTAGTAAGGATAAGTGCCCCCCTCCTCCCAATGCGTTTTAAACTAAATTCTATTTCTTATACTAAAGTGTAAGTTTTATTATAAAATCGAAGCAAAAAAAAAAAAAGGTTATCACTGCCCCCTTTGATTAAAATTCTAGCTACGCCTATGGTATTAATACTTTTTAAATTCTTTAAAATTAAAGAAAACACTTATATTTCTTTCAAATTTAACACAGAAACTATCTAGTACATATAATAAGTAAATGCTGAAGAATTACAGTTCTTACTTCCTAGAATAGTTAAAATTAAATTAATATTTTTCCTAATGCAATAGTATTATAATAATAACTAATACTGTTTAAATATTAGTCTTACAATAAAAAATTGTAGTACAAAAATTCAGTATGTAATTGGATTTTGAAAATATTTAATTTGTTACTCGTAAATGAATTTAAAAAAATAGAGTTTTAATTTGAAAAATGTATATTATTTTAAAAATTAATTATTAGTATGAAAAGCAACATCTCAGGAAAAAAAATAGGTATACTTAATATATTATTATGATTAAAATACACCAACATTTAGAAGTAAATATTTAAAATACATTTTAAAAATTTATAAATATAAAAAAATTCTTTTATATCAATAACTAATGTTTCATTTTAATCGCTAAGTATAAATCTAAATAGATACCTAATTAGGAACTTAACTGTTTAAGTTTTCTTTTATATAATAGGATAGTTGCAATGTTTGTTTTGCAATACATGTGTTTTTAAAAAGAACAATATTATTAAGGTAATCGTTTCACTAAAACTATAAGTAATCATTGATTTCCCTTGACTACATTTAGATTAAGCTGGATAGACAGGACAAGTACATAATTTCTAAAACATTAAATTTTGCACTTCGTGATTTGTATTTAAATTGAAAAGTTTATTTACGTAAATAGGTACCAAAGTGTATCTGTATCGGTTCTAACACGGTTCATACTATATAGCATGTACCAGGGGTGCTTGCGAGAAGAGACTTGCGAACCGCTTAATATATTAATAAATATGGAAGAGCCGAAATGAAAAAAAAAGGTCATATTAATATATAATTATCGTAAATAAGATATCAAATTTAATGAAATGTGTAGAATGCGAAATAATATAATAACGTACAATAATGTTAGATTAAATTTTATCTTAATTTAATCTTCATAAATACACATGGATACGTCAACAATTAATCATTGATCTGATCATAATTTAACAGCATTGTTGAGGACTGCTATAATGACGTATAATCATGACTTCAAAAAACTTACCAAAAAAAAAAAAAAAATGCGCACGCAACAAATAAGATATAATTAATAATAAAAATAAAAAAAAAATGCGTATTTAAAATTTAAATATTATACCGAAAACACTATATTTTTTTTGTAAATTTTTTCTATAAATTTTAATTTAATAAAATATTATTCTTCTCCAAATACATAAATTCATATATAGTGAAAAAAAAATGTTTTTGTATCTTACAATAATACTTATGTGAATCGCGTGAGTCAATGACGCGAGCAGCAGTTTGACCCCTAGTTTATTGCTCATACGTGAAATGTATTAAAGAAGAAAAAAATAGAAGGACTAGAATACAGAATACAGGAAATTCAAGGTATCGATTGCAGATGGTATAAAGAAAGATCTCCAGCGGATGATATACGGAACCAGAGAAACACAGCTGATCAAAATAAGTAAAGAAAGATAGTCGTATTGGAAGTCAAGTGAATAATGAATATGGACTATTGTGCTTGATGGTAATATATTATTTATTATTAACTGTAGCAGTATAATAAGTATAAATACTATTGTGTATAATACAATATTTATATATATTATATGATATACTAATTGTAGAGATAATAATGATCAAACTGGCCAATACCAATATGTAAGTATTCCGTATAAAGTAATATTATTCATCAATAGTCATATTGAAATGTAAAATAATAAAATTACTATATATAACAGAATTTTAAAGTTACGACGATCATTCAACAATAAATAGAACTTATATAAACCTATAAGTTATAACTTCCATCGCGGTAGTCAAGTGACAAGATGCTTAATTATAACTGATACATTAAAATTATTATATGCGCAAATAGTTGAATAAACTTCTTTGGGAGAGTCTCCTATGACCTATAATATTGATAAAAAATGGCGTTGAGCTAACTATACAACATCAAAATATAAGCAAATAATATTTTACTTTAATCAGTATATACAAAAGACGAAAATTCACAATTATTTACAGTTATTGCAGCCTTCGATTTGAAGTATAATTTACTTTATACTCTATGAAACCGTGTTTATAATGCTTTACAACTTACCTATAAGAATTACAACATTTAAATGGATTTTTAAATTTTTATGATTATTATAAACTATATTTTCAAAAATGCATACACTAAATACTAATTATAAATTAAGTATCTGCTTACTTAATATTGGTAAGTTTTTCCTCAAGCCTTCCATATTTTTTCTAATTAATTTACTTAATGGGGAATTTGAATGAATTAGGTTAGGCATAATAATTGTAAGATCACAAAAAATAATAAAACAAATAATTATAAACGTTTGAAAAATATTGATATCGTTTTTGAAAAATAATATGGATATTTTCTATGGTGAACTAGTACGTTACAGGTAGGCAGACTTAAAAATACTCATTGCAACTTCAGATTTTCTTATCACTAGTCACTACTATATATATATATAAGTGAATACTAAATAAATAAATAATTTGTAATATTATAACAATTATACTATATAATAATATATCTTATTATTTTTATTATTAGTGTATATTTAAATTACTATAATATCATCTATAAATGTCTTAAAAAACTCTAGTGCATGAAAAATATAGTAATGAAGGACAAAAATAAATAACGAACTTTTTATTTTTATTTGATTTGTTATGATCTTTTATCAATAATTTTTTTTTGCGTTATTGCTGTAATTTTATAAAATGTCACTGCTGCGTAGAGAAAGTAATGATAAACAGCCTTGATTTGATTAATATATTAAATGGTCGATTAGGATTATTTACATCAACTACCTTACTTTGTTATAATTTATTTATGGTATGTATAGTTACAATCGCTCACTGCAGTTTATAACTGCATAAATAGCAATATTTGCTTAATTGTAACATTTTTAAATCGCAACATGCATAATACATTATATAGTGTTACAACATAGATCACTATGTAATTTTTATGATACATTTACATAGATACGGCGTTGCATGAGTCCTGCAAACCATATTGTCTTGCAATAATTAAGTACTTATGAAATATACATTTACCTATGTGATATGCCCAATCAAATGATTGAACCTAGTATTATTAATAATATTTTCTACGCCTGAATAGTAATATTATATACTACGATACAATCAGCAATTATTATTTAATTACAAATAACGAGAAAACCGCCAATTATTTATGTTGTATTTCGCGCAAAAAATACAAGATGTACGCGCACTATCTACGTAATATTAATTCCGTGCAGGTAACAAGTAGATGGTAGGTATACTAGTACTTAAGCTATAGCTAATAATCATGATAATACGTATATTATACGATACGCGCAACAGTTATTACTTATTATAATATTATTAATATTATATTTAAATAATACATCTGCCGGTGTCGTGTCGTTTTCGCGTAAGTATACTGCAGGTGTGATGTACGTACCTTGGGAAGGTCTTTCAAAATTTGATTCATGTCCATGGCGGGATCGGTTTTGTCCGTTTCACTGTTATTTCGCAAATCCAGTACAATTCAACAATATATTATAATAATGATAACAGTGTATATTACAGTTAATAATTAGGTAATTTAATGTTATTGTATTAAATTATATTTTATTGTCGATGTGAAGTACAGGGATTGGGAGAGACAGACAGTAAGAGGACGTGGCAGAGAGTTAACGCTCCGGTTTCGGGTCCGTCGGTGTCCTGGGCAACACTACGACGTTGCTGCTGGCGCGTCTGTCGCTACCGCCGCTGCCGCCGCCGCCGCCGGCTCGCCCGTCTTTTTTTTCCACTCATTTCCCGCGTAACCACCCGCGGAGGCGGCGTACCGCGGGGACGGGTACGTGGGCCTCGGATGGAGCGCGGGCGGGCAGGAGGGACACGGGCAATCTCGCCGGAGAACGCGCGGCGGCGACGCGTCGGCTTCGCGAAATAATAAAATCAATACGTCGTGTGTTTTCTCTCGGTACCTTTATCGTCACCGGCGTCGGTGGCGGCGGGCGGACTTATCTGGGAAATAATATTATATTTGTTGATTCTCGGTAGGTATATTAGCGCGCACAGCACCCTCCGTCGTATCGGTTGCGCGTACTGCACTTTACGGACCGCGTGCGTTCGTACTTCATAGGTAATGCACAATATTATTATAATATTATGATATAATTAATATTATCACGTAGACGTTTAAGTACCGATGAATGGCCGATTATCCGCACTACGAAATTTTCGTACACATTTTATTTATCGTTCGTTATTTCGTGTTATCGTGTTGGTAGTAGGTATGAAATTCATAATTTTATTATTTGATTATCTGCTGCTAAGTAAACGGTTCACTTTTATGAAAATAATAATATTTATTGTAGTCTTACATTTAAAAGGTTTTAATTCTAGTTTGTAAACACGATGGAATACACACTTTTTTTTTTTTTTGTAAGGAATACACACTTATGAAATAAAATGGGTTCCAAAAGACAACGTAATGTGTTAAATATCGAATCAAAAATCGAAATAGAAAAAATAGATAATGGAGAAAGCGTATCTTCTTTAGCTAAAACATAAAAATGAAACTATTTGTCATATGCATTAAAAATGGATGCGATCGATGGCAAAAAATTGAAATGTAATAAAATGTGCGATAAGCCGATAAATGTTAAGTTGGATGAAGCACTTTAATTGTGGTTTGTATGTAAAAGAAATTTAGGTAATCCCATATCAGGGTCTATATTGTGTAAACAAGTATTAATATTTAATATTAAAATTGGTGATAAATTTGATTTCAAAGCTAGTTTTGGCTGATTAAAAAGCTTTAAATCGCAACATGGATTGGGATTACTTAATGTCGTAAGAAAAATGTCATTATTTAGTTTTACATCTGAAGAAAAATTTAAAGAAACATATATATCGAGAAGGATACACAAGAAATTATATTTATAACGCTGATGAAATAGATAAAATTTGGAAGGCATTACCGCGTAAACCATTAACATCACCCCATAAAATTGATTAAGTTAGTAAAAATAAGATGACTGCGATGTTTTGCGAGAATACTAGTAGAGATCACGCTTTATCATTATTTTTTTTTCATTTATTTGAATATATACAATCTGTAAAGGTATTTACAATGTGCAAAAAGAGAAAAATAATAATAAATTATACTAATATAATATACAGCTATAAGGACATAGAGACGTAAGGAGAGAAGTCAACCAGCAGTAACACTTAGAATCATTTTTAGTGATTTAACTAAAACTACGATTGCTGTGCAAATCGTATAATTTGATTCTGGTAAACAAACGATACCCACGCAAACAATAACCGGTAAATACGGTAAATTTTAGGTGAAACCTATTATCCATGTAGCTTTTTTTTACGTTAGACAACGCCAATGGTTAATAAGGATGCGTAAAATTTATACAGATGCGGACTGACTGTGATGCTGGGATAAGTGGAATGCTACAGCATCACTTGCCCTGATATATATTTTCCCCTATCGGCATAAATGCGCTGTAATGTATTTACTATACAACTGTAGAATTTTAGGAAATCTATTTATTTTTTCTTATTTTTTATAATATTGTACAATTTTGATTTATTGTTTGTTGTAATTTGGTATCTATTTACGTTTTTAACGCGTTTTCAGTATTTTTATAATAATAAATAATCTGCATATTTTAAATTTGCCGAAACAAATTTTGATATTTACCCTTTAAATTACAAAAATAATAAATAATTTTTACGTAATCAATTACAAAAAAAAAAATATGTATAATAATAGAAATTAATTATAGTATAGCCAGTAATTTTTTTTCTGAATAATGCTTTTAATTATTCTGAACAAAATGAACTTATGCCGTCCGGATTAACGAGTTCACAGAATTATCAGGGGTCCGGACTATCGAGGCTTTACTGTATATACGTAGTTTTAGCTGTTAAGAGTAGTGTAGCCTGTCTAGGTAAATCTATATATTTCCGCGAAAACGCATTACAATAAATCAATATTATTGCGTCTGTCCGTTTTACTCTCGCAAGTCAGCTCCTCCCTAATGTATACAGGTAACTAAGCATTTTACTTGTTGAACATATTATCTATGTCTATACAATATACATAATATATGATGTTATTGATTTTTATTTATATTATATTAAATGTATAAGACATAAGTGTACAACTGCTGTACAAATAATTTATGATTATTTAATAATTTATATAATAGCACTACCTATACTACTATAACAGTGTTAGCATGTTACCTTTATACACTATACAGAGTGATTTATCAAACACATTTATCCTAATTTTTCTTTTAATTATATGGTGTATGCATTCAAATCATCATATTTTTAATTATTAACATTTTGTTCAAATATCATTTTTAAAGATACGAAACAAATTTTTTTTTCTGTAAATTCAAATCATTTATTTTTGAAAATGTTGATATAACTAAATCAAAATACAAAAAAAAAAAAATTTTAGAACTATAAAAATGTATAAAGGTACTAACTGCTAAAAATAATAAAAATGTTTAAAAAAAATATAAAGTATAATATGAAATATTTAATTTAGTATTAACTATGCTCAGACATTAAAATATTAGATTAATATAAGTTACTATAATTTTCAAATAATCATAGTCCCTATACCCACCAAACCTATATTATCATGAATCTATTAATCATTCTAACTTAATAAAACAAAACAAAGTTATACATTGATAACTCAAAAATTACTCGTTCGAATTTCAATTTCGATTTAAGCTATATTGAAATTTTCCAAAACCCCATTAGCACAATAATTTATAAGATAAATGAATGATTTTAATTTGAAAAAAATAAGTAGATATTATTGTACCCACAGAAATCTCTTTAAATTTTACAAAAATCTAAATATTGTAAAATATGGTCATTAAGTATACCTAAAAATTACTAAATTCAAAATTTGAATAAATTCATTATAAAAAGAAAAATGGGACGAGAGCATGCTTGATGAATTTACTGCAAAGCCATGTAAGATTATATATAGGAGATATTAGGTATGTAGGTACAATTATTGAATTGCGCGTGTCATATATACTTATATTTACACCTTTATATATTTGCGTGCGTAGAGTTGTATTTCAGATTATGGTGTTTACTGTTCACTAAGCTTTATTTTTTGTACTCTTTTTTTCTATATATTTTGTGCGCCCCTCTAGCTACCTTCTACTACAGAAAACTTGACGAGTTACTCTGACTTTAATTATATATTGTAAATTTATAATGTTTCCTGAGAACTGAGAAGTATATTAAATTATGTAACAATTTTTAGATTACACAAAAATATTTTTTGCTTTCGCTAGTCGGAATATTTAAGTTTAAAAAAATCAAAATTTTTTAGTTAGATTTTATTTATTCCTATTTTTTGTTAATACTATAAATATGTTTTATATGGTGATAACGCAGTATTCGTTTTCTTTTTTTTACCTATGTGGCATGTACTAAATACTAAACATTTAAGTTTAACAGAAGTTAGAACCAACACCTTGTTGCTACTTGTTAGCTTTAGTGTTGGAATGATTTCTCTTTTAAATTATCAAATTTAGGTTTTGAAATATTTTCTGTGTATTATAATGTTGGATTTTTTACGATATTTTAATTGTTTGTATAAGTTATGAGTAGGTATGTAAATTGTTAGACATTGATTAGTTTAATTGTACCTGTAAATAAATATATTGATATGTATATTGTATGTGTTTATAATACTCCAAATATTAAGAGGATTGATACTGATCGTTTTTAAGAAATACAATATTTGGCATTTTCGAAGTGTGTGAGTTAATTTCAAATAAGTAGAAAATTCATTTTAAAGTTCATGTTGAATATTATGTAATAGTTTCTCTACTCACAGAAATTTTAATATTATGTATATGTATATTAATTTTGTTATGTAAATCTTATAATTAAAGTGTGTTTTTTTATATGACATACCAAAAATTTCAGTGTCAAATGCTAACTAAAAATTATACACTAGATTGTTGAATGCAAAATAATAACCACAGGGGAACGTGGATTCCTATACCCACAACATTTAAGCTACTGTTCCTGTATACATCTTACTTAAAACTTACAGTTTACTGTTGTCTGTTATAGTTAAAAACCAAATTTAAACACAATAAGCAAAGTAATATTTTCCATTGTAGGATTTTAAATTTTTTTGATATGAAAAAAGCAACATTAAACATTAAATAAACTATTTAAAACTGATTAAATTGAATTTTGAACCAACATACTTAATACTGTTTGAATATAAATTATTCTTTATTGTAATAGAAAAATAAAAACACAACATAGTAAATGTTGTCTTTGGTTTAATACTTTAATATAATAAATTTATAGTAAAATAAGTTTTGTAAAAAATTATCTAGTTTTAAAATATAATTAGTATAGGTATTAAAGCTAAATAATAATTTTTTTGCATTTTTTTTAATTTTTGTAATTCTAGACATGAATGTTTTTTTTTAAACATGTTTTTAGGATTGACTTTTATTTCTAACTATAACCGATTACGCATAATACTATTTATTGAAATGTATTATTATATTGATTGGATACCTATACATTTTTACGATAATATAAACATTGATTTACTCTTGACCAAGAATTCATATGATTTACGGTTTGTACCAAAAAAACATATCTATGATACCTCAATTTTTTTAAAAAATATTTAGTTGTATACCTATTGCTACTTTTTTCTATTTATACGCACATTGACATTTAAATTTTATTTTTTTTTTAATAGGTTTGGGTATGTGTAATTTTCTCTTATAATCAGGAATTTCTTTGGTTCAAACATTTTGCCACTCTCGACTTATTACAGAAAATATCATTTAAATATGCAAGTTTTATGACGTTTTTAAAAAATAAAATAAATTAAACTATCATTTTCTTGTATCATGAAATAAATATTACATATTTTTTAATTTATAATAGTAATAAGGAAATAAATACAATTACATAACATGTAAATCTTGAACTATCATTGAAAATGTGTTGAAAATAATAATACTTATGCAGCAAAAATTAAATTTTATTGACAACAGCACTTTTTATTTTGTTCATTAGCATTAAATGACCACAAATTATTCTCAACTTGTAGCTCTAATTGTTTTTTCAAAATAATATGGATCTTTGACTACTCTTTAAATCTGAGCCCCGTGGCATAATGTATATTATATAGTCAAGTCTCTATAAATCAAACCTCGATAACTTGAATTTTTTTTTGTTGTCTCTATGAAATTTCTATACACTCAATGCAATATTTGTCACGATAAGTCAAATATAAAAATTATTGAGCATAGATAATTTAAAATTATTTCTTACATTTTATCAATAAAATACCTGGTTTACAATCATAAATGTACAAATGAAACTATCACTAAGTATTATTGTGCTGTAAAATAATCGAAAATTGCCGCATATCTTTGTTATGTAGCGTGTACAATTTGTGTTTATGTCTCTTAAACGTAAATTGGTTTCATTAACAGTTGTTAAAAAAGTGAACATAATAAGTGAGGTGACTAAAAGTGGAAAACTGAAATACGATATTGCCAAGCAATTTAATATTCCACTGATTACACTTTTAACTATTCTGACTGTTTTAAAACAACCCAAACGTCAAACTCTATTATTTCGTCAAATTATTTCAAGTTATTTTTCTAAATTATAAGAATTATACATATTTTGTATTTTAAAATATAATCTTTTAATACATTTTTAATTAATAAATACATATATAGGAAATGAGTTTTAAAATTTAATTTTTAATTGTAATTGTAGTTACTAAATGTACATATAAAAATATTTCTAATAAAAGTAAATTAAATAAAAAATAATGTCTAACTTGAAAAATACATAAGTCGAATTAATTTTTATCTCTGTCTTGACATTCGAGTTATCGAGACTCGACTATACTTAATTATTACCAAACAATGTAACATTATACTCTTGTAATATTAACATAGTATTATATAGTATAATACAATTATTGCATCCTTATTAAATATTTAAATTACTAGATAAAGAATATAATAATTAAATCTAGAAAAATACAAAACTTATGCCATTATTGGAAATTATCAAAACAATAATTTATTTTCATACCTAATATAAAAAAAAAAATTAAATTGATATCTTATGTGCAAGATAATTATCATTAAATCAGAAATGTTTTTACTATTACACAGGAAATACTTAAGACTACAACTAAATAAATTACATTTAAAAATTTTAAACAAAATTACATAATAGTTGAATTAATAGTTTAATTGCATGACCATTCTTCAAACTAGATCCTCTTCTTTATCTTTTGAAAGAGAATCCTGAAAATTAAAAAAAAAAAATTTAATATTTAAATTACATAAAATCAATCGGCAATTAATAATGTAACTAACCAGATTAAAAAATATACATATATTTTTCATAATTTTAGTGATGTGTATGTATGTTAACAAAGCATTAAATAACTTTTCATAAAATTACATTATTTGTCTATTTATAGCATGGACATCAGCTATATTGACAAATTAAGAACTTCAATATAGGTTGTTTGAAATTAATAGACCCAAAATAATAAAAAGTAATAATAATTTGATCTATAGTAATTTATTGTATAGACTATTATATAAAATTAGAAGTAATAATTTTTATACTACAATACTTAAGGCTATAATCCATAATTTATTCAATATATGTTGTACTTTTATATTAACCATTATAAATTTATTATTAATACGTTTAATTAAAATATTAGTGATTGTGTTTTTAAATACTGATGGTTAAATTAACTTTCAAACTTTTATATTTAATTTTATACTCAGTTTAAGTTAATTTTTTATCATGATTTTTTCAAATAATTTTATGTTTTTTTTTTTGTTAATTTTATTATTGTGTTTTAAAATCCGAGTTTTGATAAAATTAGTAGTGTCAATAACTTTTTTTTAGGTTTACATGTATAAAGATTTAAAAAACGTTATTATTTTTTTCATCATAATTTATGGTCTATTGGTACATCCTTATATTAATATTTTATGCTGTTTGTTAGTATGTAATCTTAAAATTTCAAGCATGGACATTTTAAATGTTTAAACTTGGAAATGAGAACATTATTTTTAAAAATTATTCATATTATTAATTAATTGTTATTATTATCAGATTATTGAAATTAACTTTAAACATTTTTTTTTTAATCAAGTGACAAGTAAATTAATAATAATGCAAGGGAGTTAAAAAATAATTTTAAATTAGTCAGTAGTAGTGACAAAATTGAAAAAGTATTAGTAATATAAACTCTAGATGGTAGCACCAGTGCAACATTGTAGCAGGTTCCGATTAATAATAACTCCTTCCATTTACTAGTTAGCAGATCTAATAATCTAAGATTGTGGGCACAGTAAATGATCAACTGTAGCTGAATTACTAAAAACATTGTTTATAGTAAAATTTAAAAACTTTGTAAACAGATTATTGGAAATAAAAAGTATTAACACCAATATTCATAACAAACAATAGATATTAGTTTCTGGTCTTAAAAATTGTCAATAGGTGCTGTCATTTAAAAATCAATAGTTGGTATCGAGTTTGAATATTGTATAAATAACAAAAACTTCGAAAAAATTGTAATATTTTATCTATTACATTTTTTTATTAACAATTCATTAAAAAAAGTATTAATTCATTAAAATAATCATCCAATATATGATATATACAATCGAATAGAAAATTGTATGAATACTAAATGGCAACAGAACCCATATTTTTTTCCTCAATTCTTGAAAACAATAAAAATATAATTTTCGTTTCAAATTCAACATTAAAAGTTTTTATTGTATATAATAATGAAATTAATTTATTATATTACTTGTGTTTGTGTAAGAGTAGATGATATACTAGAGTTGGGCGATCAATCATCATAGGAAGTATTTCTAGTTAATTTCAGATCTGCTGCTGTGAGAGGCAAATGTGCATTTTCAATCATCTTAAACAAATAATACAAAATATAAAGAACAATAAATCACTGTTTTATAGAAATATATATTAATGAAGTAATAAATGATAAGTAAGAATTACCAATTTTGAACCATCATCTAATTGAGCTGCCATGTGTCTGCCAGGTACAAGGTTCAAATTAAAATATGTATTTATGTGAATGCAAATATTTGACATCCATTGAACAATGCGAGCTTTGGAACATTTGAATGAAATTTCTCTTAATTCGTGGTACTAAATAAAATACACATTTATAAAATAAACTGGATAATCTGATCTACTGTGTACAAGATTTTGAGTATATCTTCTTATTGAGTAGATTATTGAAATGAGTGTGTTAAATATGAATTTAATGACAAATTAGATTAAATAGTACTTGTATAATACATAATTGTATGTGTGTTAACCAAAACATAAACATGGATTTTATTTGAATGGGAATCATGTTTTAAATATTTAAAAGATATTGTTTTAAAATACTATATTTTTATATTTTATACAATATAAGATGTATATTATTTAAAAATTAAGTAATTATTTGTTAAGTAAACTGCTTAAATAGTAATTAGTTAAAACTAATTATGAATCAAAATAAGTTTAAATCAAAAGCAGACATACATATTTAACTTTTCTAGAAGATATAATTTATTATACAACACATTTTAGTAGGACAATTTATAATAAATACTCGATATAACACTTACTAGACAACCAAGACCTTTCCCGTATAAATCAGATTCTAAAATGTTAGTAACTGACAATCCTAATCTTGAATTTTGTTGGTCCAATTGAAGGTTCATTTTTTTTTTGATTTCTAACAATAATTGCTCAATACTTCCTATTTTGAACATAGACTTACAATGTTCAGCTTTGACTATAAATATAATAAATATTAAAACAAATATATAAAAGCAAATAAATTCAAATGCAATAATTATAAATTGTATGACTACATAAAATGTAGTTTTTTTAATTATTTGTGTATAATACACTTAATTAAAAACATTAATAATTAATAATTATTTATTAATTTTATCAAAACTACATTAATGTACAGACCATAGGCGTGCGCACAAGTAGGGATTATTGGGCTTTAGCCCCACTTGAGCCTTTTTTATTTATATACGTGGGTGGGTATTTGGTATCTAAGAAAGTAATAAGACATTATAGCCGTAGAAAATTGATAACAAAATAAATTAAAATAATAGATATTTACACGATTAAAGATAAGTATAAATGGTATAATAAAATTATAACATTACATTTTTTTATTTGATAGCTTAATAATTGTATGTAAATGTTATGTATATACATACAAATTACATAATGAATAGTTTATAATAATAAATAAATATTTATGTTAATTGACAATTCTTAATATTATGTGTAGGTATTTTGAATATTTTTGAATTATTTTATTAGATTATATTTGGTTAAAATTTTAAATCAATATCGAAGGATTTTATGTGTGAAATAATGAAAAATGATTGTTTACATTTTTCAGTCACCAACAAAAGGATTATTTCGAAGTTTGTATTGAAAATTTCTATAATTTTTTTCTTGTGTGACAGGACAGGGGTTACGGATTGAATTTTGGTTCATCTGACTCAGAAGTCTACGCACAATTATGGTACAGGCTGTTGTTTAATATCTGTGGTTAAGTGGTAAAATATTTTTAAATTAAAGCTATATTAAACCTCTATATAGACAAAATGTTTTTCAATAATAGAATATTGTAGTTATGAATGACAAATAAACATTTTAAACAAATAATGAGACTAAACTGTAACAATTACAAATTATAAATATGTATATAATATAAATTAAATTCATTTTTATTATTATTATTTGGAATAGTTTTTAAATTCTTGTAAAAATACTTGGATTATTAATTAAGAGGATATTACACTATAAAAGTAGGTTATATAAGTTAATTTTGTTTAAATATTCCTTAATTTAGATACAATACATAAGATAAAATATATTAACTTAAAATGTATAACAACTTTATCAAAAAAATTTTTTTTTACATTGTTAAGAATTGTATTAAATGCAGTCAAATTGAACCATGCATAGATGGTGTAGTATTCTGTGATAAGATGATAATAATAAATTTATATTAAATTAATTTACCTTCAGGGAAAGCTATGGAATATAATCTTTCCAAGCTACTTTTAACTTTCATCATGTTAGTTGTACCAACTTCTGATTGTATAGTAAATAAATATGGTAAGTTTAAAGTGCCTTCTTTTAAATCTGTATCATTGATTTGTTCATCCTAAAGTAATAATTTAATTAAAAGTTGAAAAATAACTTTATAACTATTACATTTACCTTTAAAAATGTTGAAAATTCTAATAATATATTCTGATAATCATCCGGATGATCATTCCAACTATTAATTTGATGAAAATGGTCAGCATATACTCTCATACCTCCAGCTAAACCTTTTGGGGAAATTTTAGCTATAACCATAAATTAAATTAGTTTTTTTTTTTTTTTAAAAGCATTTTACTTTCTGTGTTATTTACTTATTAATGTATAGACCCTCTAGTACAAAAATTATAAGTATGTTTACATTTATGTTGAAAAAAAATTTGATTTCCGTTGTGTATAAATTTAATCACAGAATAAAAACAAAATACATGTGTCTCGGAGAAAAATGATTGATTTAAGTTATACTATGAAAATATGTCTAATATGATCGCAAAATATCCCTGATGGAGAATTTTCAATCATTTTTTTTTCAAACCATCCAACTTAAATTAAATGACCTAATTTTTGACACTAACAACTAGTTGAAAGATAAATAAATAACTTTAGCAAGCATACAATGAACTTAACAAAAAAAGCATGTTAGCAGTTATTATTTTCAATAATAAAAAATTTTACATGATTAGAATTGACAATTTATACAACTATGAAGTGGTTAAAATTGGCATCATGCTACTCAAAAATAAACAAAGATAAAAAATAAATCTTTATATTATTACAAGGAATGCCCAGTAAAATAATTTAAATAAAACTAAAAAATTAAAATCATTGTTAACTTTTACAATATCAATTATTTTAAAATTGCTTATAAATAAAATTTTTGGTTTTTTATCATAACAAAAAAAATGTAATACAAATTGTTATTTGTTTGTTTTAAGTTATTTAATAAAGCAATACAAAATAGTATTTTTTTTAAAAGACCAAAGATTTTTTATAATAATTTGGAAATATTTTTATGTAAGTCTAATTGTTTAGTTTTATAAGTGCCATATTATTGAGTAAATATAGCCATGAGACAAATTACATGTATAATACAATAAAATAAAATAAGATAATATTTACTTTTAATAAACATGATGAAAATCTTTACACATACCACTAGTGAAATATTTAATTATCAATAATTTTTATTATTTAACATTACCCTGTGCTAGGGGACCTATTTTAACACTACTATAAAATTTTAAATACTTACAAATGCCAATCATTTGGTGATACGTGCGAAAAATACCATTTTTTAAATTGAATTCTAGTGCTGCTATTTCAGCAGGAAAATAATACTGTTCTCCATCATGAGAATGACAATTTATGTGCAATAAAATAAACTTTTTATTTAATAATTCTGAAAATCAAAATTATTTCAATTTATAAAAATAAACTAAATGTACATTTTGTCTAGAATATGTATTAATTTTCATTGTATATTTATATTTATACAAATTTAATTAATATTGTTTATAGTATTAAAAAAATGTAATAACATAACATAATTATTCTATTTTATATGACATTTACAACAAATAAATAGTTTTTATACTTAGTGTACAAAAGTTATACTAAATGAATAAATTTAAGATTAAAAGTACCTTAAACATGATTTAATGGTCAATTATTAGTTTATTAAACTTTGATGAACTCTTAAATCAATAAAAAAAAGTATTCATCTAATGTTTCATTAAGTATTTTATCTATAAATATTAAATGTATAGAACAGGTACAATTAATAATAAGTCCCGAGTCTGATCACTTTAAATTTTGTTAAGTACTAATGAAACACCAATGATAACCAATCTGTTTATTTTATGTCTATAATATGTAAGTAAATCAAACAGAAGTCTAAACTAAAATATTTTATTAGGTACTTTTAAAATAACCAGGATAAAAAATACTAATATTTATGAAAATTCTAATATTATTATTAAATCAATTGTTTGGTCAAAAACTAGTTTTGCATAATAATTTCAGTTTTGCATAATTTTTTTTTTTTTTTATTTCCCAATAATTAAAAGAACTTAGTAAATATATATTATACTATAATAATAATTTATTTTGATTTCAATATCAAAAAACAAATCATAAAATATATTTAGTAATATAGGCCAAGAGGGAATGTTCCAATATTTATTTTACAGTCATGCACACTAATAATTACTCACTATGCACACATTGACATAAATTAAACACTTACACATAAAAAATTTACTACATGAACTTTCCAAAAATGATCAGTATCAAATCCCTTTAATATTAAATATTTTATAATTTTATACATAAAATAAATAGTTTTATTACTTAAATATTAATATTTGAAAGAAAATAGACATGATCCTAATCCAAAAAAAATGTTGGGAAAAAATGAAATGTTCCTTATATCTACTTATTTATACACCCAAGTAGTCTATTGACAACAATTTTAAATGATCTGTCATAAAGTCAGAATTAAACTGTTACTATTACAGTATTACATATTATTTATATAAGTATAATATATATATATTTACATTGTACATAATTTATTATGCAACTATTAGATAAACTAAAGACTCACATCACGCTTGTGTATTTAATTACTGTATAGTTTAATTAGCTTGTCAAAAAAATTAGATTCCATCCAATGAAATTTGACAAATAAATTGTATTTTCTAAATTAGCAATAATACTGTTATTATTTAATTATAATTTTTAAAACTCAGCCCCAATTCAATAAAATAGTTCTTACCCTGATTGTTAGGTATACATTCAAACATTTCAGTTATATATTTCTCCATGTTCCAAAAATCATAGCTGTTTTTGTGTTGATCACTAATCTGTAGCAATGGCTGTTCTTTATTAAAATTTGAATTATATTTTTTAGCAAGATCTTTGAATTTATTTTTTTCCATAACAGTCATATTCTATAAAACAATAATTATCAATATTAACTTTAATTTATAGCTAAAGCAATTTGATGTTATTGCCATAAGATTGGTGTAGGTATACAATATATAAATTTTTTTTTTTTAAATAAAATATTTGTAAGTAGATGTTTCAATTTAAAGATTACTTACATTCCATATAGGTGTTAATTCAGTTCTTAATTGTTGAAAGTTGGAAGGTTTTCTTCCATTTTTAATTTCATCATCTCTATAAGAAGCTAAGAAAATAAAAAATGCAGATTTCTTAGGAGCCATATTTGTCTGTAAAAAGAAAAATAAGTGTTATACTGAAAATTTGTTATACTCATTTATCATTGTCGAAAAAAAAATATATTTGTATAGTTTCTTCGTAATTATTAGAAATAAAAAATGAGCCTGGTAAAAAAATGATGTGGAGTGTAGTAGATTACTAAAAGAATGCAAATGAATGATTTCCATGGAAATTTTATTTTGAATGTATCTTTAAAATGTTCTACAAAAAGTAATTATAACCTTCTAAATATACTTTTCAGAAATGTTGGGATTAATATTAATGTTGCACTATTTTTTTTTGTTACCGATTAATAAGTTGTTCAAGCTTTTTATTCACTGATATTAGTAAAACATTGATATTTAATATTTCTCTATTTTATTTCTAGGGCAAACTATATGTAGAATAATTTTAAATAATAATAAGCTTATAAAATTAAGAAATAAAATAGTTTATGTAAGCAATAGCATTTGCTTTTTTCAAGTTAGTTTATATATTGTACAAATATTATTTAAATTAATATTTATTATTTCATAGTAATGATACTTTTTAAATCAAGAAATGTTGTATCAATGATTAAAATCTCTTATATGGTATTTGTATGTAATACTCTATAAACTCTATAGAACACAATTTAAATATTTAAACTTTATGACTATTCTATCCAATTTTGATGGTGTATTCATGTCAAATCTTTAACATGTACTACAATTATAAAGTTTTAACAGAATTTTTAGAAAATATTTCAAAAGAAAAATCTGATGAAGGAGCAAAACTCAGTGGTTTTTGTAATCAATTACTTGATTTTGAATTTTTATTTTATTAAAGTTAAAATTATTATTTTTAAGGGAGTTGAAATTCTTAATGCAGAACTTCAAAGAGTTAATATCATTGAGTTTTCAATCATACATAAAAATTAAAAATATCATCATATTGATTCAGTAACAAAAAATTAACTGGATTTGATGACATACGGGAAGACTTTTCATGAAAATCTAGAACTGAAAACACCAAATCAATTGAGAGCAAAAATAAAAAAAATACCTAAATAGTAAAATCTTTTAAGGTACTAAAGTGTTTTCAATTTCATCAGTAAGAGAAAAATATTTAATAAAAAAATATTACATCGTCATCATTAAATACATGGAATATAATAAACTTGAAAAAATTATTTTAAAAATAATTTCAGTCTTCTCTTACACAGTAGAAAGATCTCTATCTGCATTAAGATCAAAAACATGTCTAAGGCTAACAATGAACCAAAATCACCTTAATGGCATTGTAATACAGTATACTTATCAAAATGAAGGTACAAATATTGAAAGAGTTGCAAGATTACTCATCAATATGACTAACATTTATCAACAACACATTTTTTTTCGGTAATAATATGTTTTTATTTGAATTATAATTATTGACGGTAAACTTATAATAATTTGTATTATACAGTAAAATAAATAAATAAAATATACAGATATTATGTGAGACCTGGCGTTTAATTGTTTTGTGAGTCTAGAACCATTTTTGTGAAATACTTTTACTTTCATAAGTTATTACTTAAAACGAGAAACTTCAAAAGTTAAGAAACTGTTAATAATAATAATTTATGGTTGTATGAGAGGATACAATTATTTAAACTAGCAATTCTAAAAACACTGATACCTATTACACTAATTCAAATCTAGTCCTTATGGTCAGTTGCTATATTATGCGTTAATTTCATAAAATTTTAGTAAGTGTAAAACCTTCATTAGTTTTTTAATCATAGAGACAAATTAAGTCATATTTAATATTGATTGATTCGATTTTGTAAACTTTTACTTTTTTGTATATAAAATTATATACTAATATCATTGATTTTAGAATATATTAAAATATACTATATTCTAATATTAATGCTAATATCTGAGGTTTATCAACTATGAAACACTGACACTGCTATTGAATTTGGTTAGCTTTTTAAATTTGTTAAAAAACTTAACTACCAAAATATTCATGGCCCAAAGTTGTTCCAACACAATAACAGCATAAGTTGGTTCTCGCTTGTCTTGTTATCAAAAAACTGCTTATAATTATACTGTTCTGTGGGTTCTCATCGTTGCAGTTGCATCGAAAAAGATGGTCATCAGTTCAAGTATAAACAAGTGATTCTTTGTAATTAATAAATATTAATAAAATATTTGTTGTGTAAATTAAAGAACCGACTTTTGTTGCACTCTGTGTATCAAAGGAATACCCGATTATAATTATTACATGGGTATTTTAAGTAATTAAACAAAATAATGCCAGGCATGCTCACAGTTACACTACAAATCAGTAGGTACCGACATCACACGTTCAAATATTTATGATTACATTTTTAAACAGTATAAACGTAATTAATTCGCATACTTTACCTTCACTAAATTCCAGTAGTAGAATAAAAATTAAGTTTCTGTGCAGAAGTAATAAATGAAAAAAAACAATTATAGGTAAAAAAAAAAAAAAGCATGGGCGTCTGTTAACAAAGAGTCGACTCTTGTCGAAGTTTTAAACCAAGACGATTATTTTATTGGTAAGGACGTGTTCGTCATTGTGTGAACGAACTACAGTCAACAAAAAACTCGTGATATTATATTACAATGACAGCGAAAAAAAATTCGAAATCGTACGTGATTGGTCAATAACGTAATTTTCAATACAAAATTTGAGTTACCTCCAGACTTCAAGAAGCTAAACCAAAGGCTATAGGACAGAGATCATAGGCGAACTAAGATCTAACGATTAACGACTATATAATTAACAATCCCAATGCTACTAGAGGATAGGAATATAGTAATTGGCAATGACTAAACGCTGTTTAAGTGTTAGGTGATTACTAATTAGTAATAAGGATTAATGACTAATGAGTAATAACTGATAAATAATAATGAACATTTGAAAAATCAGAGTCTTTTTTTAAAACTATCGTAGATAACCGTTTACCACCGCGGCACGAAGGCAGCGCGAATTATTCATTAATAACTAATAAGTAGGCATGTAGATGTAGGCGATGTAGCATTACGGTTTCGGTGCCTAAAAGCATTGGTTGGTGGAGGGGAAAAAGCAAACCAGTCCAACCGCTTAGACGACGTTGCCAGATTTCCTGAAACACAATTGTTTATTAGGATATTTGGTATATTCCAGAATCCAGCAGTACACAAACCTTTTTGGTTCACGCCTCACAGTTTGGGCACCGCTGGAATCTATTATATCGGTCTGACTGTGTGTATTGTGTTGTCCGAGAGCAAAGGCCAAAAACCTAATGGTGACTGATGAGCAAATCTCTACGAATTAGACATTGTAATACATTTCGAAGTATAGACCATAGAGTATTAGAATACTAGGAAAATATCACATGCGACAAAAATATTAACGATACCCACGTCTTCATGGCCCATGCTGGCGAATAGAGATATTTATACAGAAAAATAGTGTAAAGAGATTTTTGTGGCTCGGAGGCCCCCAATCGGACGTACAACAACCCGTATTGCTTTGGCTAATGATCGAAGGGAAATATTATAATACAATGACGTGAAATGCTCACGCAGTTCACAGTGATACCATAGTACTAAGACTACAAAGGATAATATAACAATTATTAATTATTATTTAAACCAAAAAAAATAACAAATGGAATGGATAATGGCGTCATTCGCGTAGTCGTAACGGTGACGCATCGGTCGAAAACGTATCACGATAACGACTGTTTACATCACGATTCTCGGCGACTGTTACAAACCGTAATCAGTTATCACTGAGTCTGTAATATCGTTGTCGGTGGATTGTATATTTTGTTTTTTTTTTCACACGCCGTCCTCGTTTTGTTCGTGTTTGGTTTTTGTATGTACTTCGTATCTACGGTTTTGCGGTCGACATTTTTTCTAGCTTCGATAGTTCAAGTCATTTTACATCCTGTGCACCCGTTACCGCGCTCGTACGAAGCACGTTTTATCTGGTTTGGTTGAGTACGGTTTTTTAAAATTGTTTTTTGCGACGTTCGTTTTTTCATTTACCATGGGATGCACGATAAGTTCGGGTGAGAAAGAGGCGGTGGAGCGATCTAAAAAGATCGACAAGACACTCCGAGCCGACGGCGAAAAAGCAGCTAGAGAAGTAAAGCTATTACTGTTAGGTGAGTTAAAATCGGTCGTTTTCTGTTTATATTTTGTTTCGTGTAAATATTGCAGTTGACATAATGGCATATGATGATAGTTTCGTGTAGATGTATAGTAAATTAACCTTTAGTTTTATTCTATAATGATTTATTTATTTTTAGTTGTATCAATTTATTTCCTTAATATAGTTACTTAATCATATGTAAACACAGTGGTAGATTTGCATCGTTATTCTTGGGAGAGGGTTCTCTGAAAAATAAAATGTTTTATGTTAATCAAATTTAAAGGTTTGTATTTTTAAAAATATAATTTATAGGTAATGTGAACATATTATTATAGAGCAGGTATGCCCAACCCGGGGCCCGCGGGCTGAATCCGGCCCGCGAAAGTGTTCCAACCAACCTGTAATTATTTTATAAAAATTAGAAATTTGTATAGGTGTAAAAAAAAAAATTATTATTTACAAAAAAATGTATTTTATTAAGTTTTTAAGAATATAAAATAATTTTTAATGACGAAAACAAACTAACAACTATAGCGTGGAAATATTGAGAACTTTAAACACATACAATTTGAGTCATAAATTCGATAAATGAACAAAGATAATATTATATCTGATAAAATGTACAATAGATATACCTATGACTAGTTTATATTTTACCGAAATTAACAAAAAAAAAAAACCCATGAAGCGTATACGGCCCGCAGTACAAATATACATTTTGAATGTGGCCCGCCAGTTAAAAAAGGTTGGGCATGTCTGTTATAGAGTATCGATAAGTATTTTTGTATTATGTTAATTCAAATGTGTAGCTAATCCTAATTACCTAGGTAATAACTGTTTTCAAGTTTCGAGATATTTTAATTAACTAAATAGAATAAAATACTTGTAGGTATTTTACTTGTAACATATTATCAAAATAAAGATGGAGGTATTCAATTATCTTAAAGAAGCACAAACACAAATACAAAAAATAAGTTAATATTCAACAATAATAAAAATTAAATAACATTTCTACTCATTGTTCAATGAGTTATAAAAAATTGAAATAGATGTGTGGCAACATTGGTTAGGTTTTATGTAATTTTCTATCTTGTATGTGCAAAAGTAACTTCATCCAAAGATTTTCTTATTTTTAAAATATATATTCTAATTTTTGTTGTACATGTATGTTGTTAGTTGTATGCATTGCATTGATTATGTTAATGGAACCAACATTTTTCTCAAGTATTTAAAATCTTTTATAAGTTATTTTTGTATCATCATGCCGCGTTGATTATAAGTGTAGGTTTAGCAAAATTATCTCATTTAATATTTAAAAAAATCTAAACATATCATTAAAATACTGATTCTTCTATTTTTTTAGCATGTCTAAGACTTGATACATAAGTCAAACATTAAAAATAAATTTTCATTTTAATTGTTTATTACATTAAACCCACGAATAATAATTTTTAATAATTATTATTAGGGAATGTCATAATTTTCACAATTTTTATGGTCAAAAATGCTTAGTTAAATTTAAGTACCTATATTTTGTGTATTATTTATGTAATTAATTAAATTGCAGTAACACCAGTTAAATTTCCTGCTACGAATTTATATTTAACTACATCTTAATTAACACTTACCAATTTTTGACAATGTTAATAGACTTAAAATTTACACCTATATAATAATTTTCAAAGTATTATAATTTTTTTTTTGAGCTGTCTATTTATAGATACTTTAAATATTCTACTCTTTAAGTTTTTTTTTATTTATGTCGACATATATTTATTTTATAATTTGATATGCTTAGGTACCAATTTAATTTAATGTTCCTCATATATTATTCTGACAGTGATTAAAATATATTGTTATAAATTACTCATAAGTTAATAATAATGTTACATGATATTGAGCTTATATTAGGGATAATATCAGATACAGTAATTAATAATTTTATAGGTACCTGTTATAATTTTGCTAAAAATTAGTTCAAGTTCAACCTACTGTATTAAAATACAGTAAAATCTCTCTCATCCACCCTCGATTGGTCCGCCGCTCCGGTTGATCCGACCATAGTATAATTGATATGAATACTATGTAATTTAAAAATATAATTTGGATTTTCTACTTTATAGAAGATATTATATAAAATTAATTGCTAGTTTAATATTTCCCTTATCGCTTGTCTGCTTTAGTACTCCGACCTCTCTCGTATCGTTTCTATCGGTGTGCATATTTTGGAATATTGCAGTTAAATCTAGAATGTCATTTGCTAAACAAAAATCTATAACTGACTTTTTTTTCTAAGTAATGTAAAATATAATAAATTTCTGATATAATCTTGTATGTAATATGTAAATAAAAAAATGTTCTGTAGGTGACGGATTAGAGAGGTTCTACTGTATAAAAAAAATTATTTATATTATTATAAGTTGGTAATTAATTTTAATATTAATAATAAAATAGGTTAGGTTTTTATTATATTTATATACTTTTCGGGTAAATATATCATGTATCATTGTTAACTTTTGTGTTAATATACCTAATTATACAATATGTATAAATAAGCAATAGCTCAAAACTAATTTAAATATTTTGAAAATTTAATTACTTACATTTATCAATTATAATAATAAATGTAAAAGTTTTAAGTTTCTACGAATAATATTTTTGAATTATAACAAAATAACTTAATATTGTTATTATTTGTTTAAGTATTAATACTTTACATCTAAATTTGAATTTAAAATGTCTACAAAAAAAAGACTGTAGTTATATAACTTAGAATTTTAAGTTTCAGTAAATACTGTTTATGATAAATCTTGTATGTATTCAATGTTCAAGCCTTACTGTAAAAACTGAACATTGTTTTAATAATTTGTGATTTTGAAAATATTTTGAATTTCAAATACTCATAAAGTTATTTTTCGTGTATTTTTAATAGTTTAAAATTGCAATAAAAATAGTTTATGTGGTATATTTTATTAAATTTTCAAGATTTTTGAATAATTCTCAAATATTTTACCTTTGTACCTTAAAATTTGTCTAAATATTTTGAAAACTTTTAAGTATAGAAAATAATAATTTTACAATAATAATATTTTATTAATAATAAATTTTACATAAAAAAAATGTTGGTAATTTTTCTGAATAATTTTACCATCAAAATTATGGTTATTTAATAAATTTCTATTAAATATCAAATTATAGTGTATAATATTTATAGCCATTCAATTCTGTAACAATTATTGTCACAATATGAAAAGAAGATAAGAAAAAAATGAAATAAAACAATAGTTACTATAAAATCATGCAAGAATTTTAATATTTGGTCAATATTATTCAATAATCATAATCCTTAATCACTATTATTTCATAAAAATTTTCATAGGTATATTAGTAGTATCTAAACAATCCTAATCTATTGGTAAAAATATTAAAACATTCAAATTTAGTGATCACTTAACTTTTAGAGTGATAAAAATATTTTATTGTATAAAATTGTTACATTTACGAAACTCATATCACTAATTTAAATAATAAGTCCATGTACTAAGTTCCTAAAATTAATAAATTTTGAGTTGCAACAAAAAAAAAAAAACCAAAATTATTTGATGATAAATTGTTAATTCATGCATAAATACTCTAGTTTGTCAAAACTTCAATCACTTATAAAAAAATATTTGTAGATTAAATTCAACTTTTTTAAGAAAAATATATAAAAAACTTAGGTAACATACAATTTCCAAATCATAGGTATGAATTTTATACTAAACTACAATTTTGTATTATTATTAAAAATTGCTATTTTTTAGTTTGGTAGTTGATATGTAATTAATGTAAATAATTATTAGGTAATTAACTTTAAAAAAATAGTTTCTAAAAAGTATATTTTTGGTTTTATCTATAGATTGAGAAGAAGAAATACAATTTGTAAATAATTAATATTTCAAGTTGTTTTATTTATGTCACAATTTTTATTCACAATTCTCATTTAATTTCTTAATATAGTAAATATCTATGTTATTTCTAGTATTTATTTTTCTTCTTTGTATATGTTTAATTTTCAATTACCTAAGTACTATATATATTGATAATACATTTAAAATATACTTGGTATGTTTAAAATTTGTATACTATTGTATAAAATTATAGGTAAATATAAATTATTCTTTCTATTTTTTTGTACCTATATTTAAATTTACCTAATTTTGAATAATTTGTTCTTAACAGTTGTGAGTCCATCTTGCATTTAATAAAACTTATTCAATAAACTTCTTTAAATAAAGGTATTGTGATCATTGAATATATTATTTCTTGTAAAAAATACAGTTAATGATATTAATCATTAAACCTATGTTATCTAATTTTAAGCTAGAGTCACATAGTATTTTAAATTACACATTATATTATTTTCCATGTATATAAAATAAAAATGGTAAATAAAATAGTGGCTTTTCTAAATTAAAAATAAAATAATATTTACATACTAATAATATGTTTACTTTTTATATTAAAGGTGCTGGTGAATCTGGGAAAAGTACTATTGTAAAACAAATGAAAATCATTCATGAGACAGGTTATTCTAAAGAAGAATGTGAACGGTATAGACCTGTGGTATTTAGTAATACAATTCAAAGTTTGATTGCAATTATACGAGCAATGGGAATTTTAAGAATTGATTTTTCAGATCCTAGCAGAACGGTAAATAAATGTTATAGTAGCCTATTAATATTATAATTACGGTCACTTTTGATATCAATTAAAAAATGTGAATTCATTTTTATTTAGGAAAATGCCCGTCATTTTTTTTCTTTAGCTGGTGTTACTGGAGAAGGTGAATTGACTCCAGATTTAGTTAAACTTATGAAAAAATTATGGGCAGATCCTAGTGTACAAGAATGTTTTTTGCGCTCTAGAGAATATCAACTCAACGATTCTGCTGCTTATTATTTAAATGCACTGGATAGAATATCTTTACCTAATTATGTACCTACACAACAAGATGTGTTACGGACAAGAGTGAAGACTACCGGCATCATTGAAACAAATTTTTCATTTAAGGGATTGAATTTCAAGTAAGTAATGTCTAAAATTAGTAGATATAAAGTTCATCATTTTAGGTTTACATATTTTTTTATTTTTTTTGTACTCGAGATTTATTGAATATAAGTTTTTATTTATTGGAATAAATTAAATTACTTTTTTTGCATCTTCAAAAATTTATAACTTTAAACGTATATTTGAAATATAAAGCTTGAATATTTTTAATGTTTTTATATTCATGTTAACAGTTATCAACAAACAATTTAATGATTACCATTATTTTATAATATAATATAAAATAATTTTCCTGCTATTATCATAAAACGTTTATATACATTTTATACTCATGTAATATGCATTAAGCATGTAGTATTCGTTTTATTAACCTAAAGTAAAATTTTATATTTTTATCTTAGTATAAAATTTAAATAATTATTTTCTTAGCTTATATATTAAATTAGTTAAAATTAAAAAAAAAAAACATTGTATTTTATATACATGCTTACATAAAAAATAAAAATATTATTAACTTGTATTTTTTTAATTACTTTGTTGATGTAGTTTTTTAATCTTAATAGTATCAATAACTTCCTCTGTTTTAATCATATTATCAATATTGTTAATTTCTTTAATATTATCTAAATATTTCAATAAAATATGTAAATGTTTGTTGTAGAATGTTTGATGTAGGTGGACAAAGATCAGAGAGAAAAAAATGGATTCATTGTTTTGAAGGTGTTACGGCTATTATATTTTGTGTAGCTTTATCAGGTAACACAATCATATTTTTACACTTTAGTTCTTAATATCAGTTATAACTAAATACTGTTTTTATTACTAGGTTATGATTTAGTATTAGCAGAAGATGAAGAAATGAATAGAATGATAGAGTCTATGAAATTATTTGATTCAATTTGTAACAGCAAATGGTTTGTTGATACATCAATAATATTATTCTTGAATAAAAAAGATTTATTTGAAGAAAAAATCCGAAGAAGTCCACTAAATTCTTGTTTTCCAGAATACACGGGTAATATTTGCTTTTAAATATCTATAAATATATGATAAAATAACACAAATTCCTGTTTATTAATTTTAAATTTAATTTTAGGTTCTAATAATTATGAAGAAGCAGCTGCTTATATACAAATGAAATTTGAAAGTTTAAATAAAAGAAAAGACCAAAAAGAAATTTACACACATTTCACTTGTGCTACTGACACAAATAACATACAATTTGTTTTTGATGCTGTAACTGATGTGATCATCAAGAATAATCTCAAAGATTGTGGTCTTTTTTAGAATTTGTAACAAGTTGCCAAAATTATTATTATTATTAATGATTTAATTGATAATTATTATCATTTTTTTTTCATATGACTGATAAAATTATAAAGATCTTAGCAGTTCTCATTTGTTGTGCCAAATAATTATAAAATTTAAGTAATGAATCACTGAACAAATATATTTTGAATATTTAATTCTTAAATTAAAAAATACATATTTTTGTGAGAATAAAAAACTAATTTTTTTTTTTTACATTCTGTTTTATAATACATTATTTTTTTCATATGTAAAATACTTAAGTATCATTTTATTATTATTATTTCTTTTTTATTAAGCATGCGATTAAACTTTTTTTGTAAACTATTTGCATGTTTTTTTTTTTTTTTGTTAATTTTAATGATTTACAAAGCACTTGCCTACAATTAAATTTTTGTATTTTGAAGATCCTTGAATTTGTTAATGTTTGTTTTAGCCTCATGGCAAAGTTTGTATTATATATTTATTAATACAATTTAAAAGGATAATCATATTTTAATTCAAAACAATATCATCTGTAACTAAAATTTGTGATTTTTTTTTTAATATGTCAATTATTTTCAATGACTGAATTAGTGATAACATGGTAAATCTATATTTATTTTTGACTGCTTGAAAAAAAAAGATCAATTTTGTACTTAATAATATTTTCTGTTACTATGTAAAAGTATACATTATAAAAGTGTAACCTTAAATATGGCAGTATTTTATTTTTATTTTTATCTTTATTATTAGTTATTAATTATCATTTACATTAATTTTTTTTATATATATAGAATAAAACAAATTCATTTTTGTATGTACTTATTTTTGTATTCGCATGATATTAATTTAATTTTCAAAAACATATTAATTGTGTTACTTTTAAATTTCCAGGGTTTTATATTGTGATTAAATGAAACGTCAAAGAATTATTTATTCTTTAGCATTTTAAAGTATTAATAATAAATATGTTTTTTAAAAACTTATCTTATTTTGAGTAATGTATCATAATTTTTAAGAAATTTTATATTTAATATTTAGTTACCAATATTATTGTTTGGAATTGTCGTTATTTATGTACACATTGATTTTTTCTAACAATATATTTTTAATGCAGCTACCTATCACTTAACAATGAAGAATTTATTACACTATTTCAACTCTTTGTTACTATATCTATTGTTTACTAAGCTACTTTATAGACATAACATTATAATGGTTAACTGATGTTTACTATATTTTTAGAAATTTTATAAATAATTTAGTAAGTTATTACAGGATCTTATTTTATAATAATTTTACTATTAATTCCATCTTTTGTTATTTGATATATATATATATATATATATTTACATAATACTCAGTCTTTAGTAGTTTCATCATAGAACAAAATAATCATTAATTATCATAAAAATCAAAATATTTAGGTAATTTTCTGATGGTTATATGCTTTTCAAGTCTTAAGTAATTTTTAAACTTTAAACTTCTTCTTTAAATATATATATTTATACATGTATGAATTTTAGCTATTTATAAAATATTGGTTAATATTTATCAATGATCACTGCAATTATAGTTTATATTTTTAGGCTGTAGCCAAGCGTTAATTATGGTATGAAATTTCCAATAAAAACTAAATTATTATAATTATTTATGTTACGGTAAATGATGTTATATCGGAAATTAACGTTATTCGCCGCTTATTAACGTTATTTACCTACAAATGTGGAAATTATCGTTATTTTCTAGTGAATAACATTAATAACCGTATGATAAAGGAAATTTTAATTTAATTATAAAATAAAAGAGGTCATTGCGGAAGATTTAAAAAAATAACCAAAGAACCAATCACCAAAGAAGATAAAATCGGAAATTAAATCACAGAAAAAAATTTGGAATTTGGTACTTAAATATTTTTTAATTATTTAACGATAAATTTCCGAAATTTTAATTTAACACAAATAAAATTAAAATATAAATATTTAAAAATTATTTTAAATATTTTTTTGATGATTGTCCAGAAAATATTTGTATTGCATATAAAAATTCAAAAAAAAAATTTAGAAAAACAAGGAGAGGAAATGATGAAACTTTCTGAAGAAAAGTTTCCTCAGCTAGAAATAAGCATAACTAGATGTGAATTTATACCGAACGTTGATAGAGCTCGTGATTCTATGCAAAATATACTAGCAGTTGTCACCCAAGTTGAACATGACTTATACAAACTCTGTAAGTTAATTCTTAATAAAAAAATATATTATTAAAATTAAAATTTGTTTTATTATTTTATAGGTACGGAATATAGTTTTCTTAAATACTATTTCACATGCTAAGAAATAGCTGTTTGCAAATAAAATCTATTAGACATGGACAATGTGATAAAATTAGCAGATGGTAGACAGTCAACACTGAGGGAAGTAGCTAGTAATAATTCGGTTACGGGCCCTCAAAGGTAGCAGCGTTGTCATTACAAGACTAGTAGTAATAATAATAAGCATTGTGCCTACCTTGAGGCTGAAAAATTATGTTATATTAAATGTCATGGGAGTACAACTTGTAAAAATAAATAAAAATTAATAATGCATTTTTCTATTTTTAAAAATACCTGGGTACCTACATAATTTTTCAAATTGTAGTATTTGAGATTCATGCGCATATCTGATTTATAACATCAATTACCTGTGTATTTGGTCATTAACGAGATTATCCGGTTTATAACGATAATTACCTGTGTATTTGATAAATAACGTTAATAACTGGTGAATAATGTTAATTTCCATTTAACATCATTTACTGTAACATATAAATAGTGAACAGATAGGTTAAAAAAAACAAACATTGTATTATGAAACAGTAATATCAAAGACTATGGTAATTGCAGATAATATCCAGTAAAAAAAAAAAAAAAATTCAAGATGTGTATATTATAATTATGTAGTAAATAATAGCTCATAATATTAGTGCTTTAAATAAGATTGTATCAAGGAGTAAAAGAAACTGTACATGAACTATCTATGATAAATATAAAATTATAACTTTTTTATGCAATAAAAGTTCTTTATTTTCTAATTAAGTTGATAACTATCCTCTTAAAAGATGTTATTCTATCACACATTTAGGTAATTGTTTTTAATCTGATTTACCTTTCATAATTAATCATTAGTGGTAACACTAACACTAATATCAGGATTCCAATACTATTCAGATAATCCGAATGTCCGAATCCGAATATTCTAAACTTGTTGCTTATGAGTTACTTATTAAAAATACATGATTTATATTTTATGATATGAAATATAATATTAACTACTACCTATTGCATTAACTGTCACATATTTTAAAATTTATTTGGATATCCAAAAATCCGGATTTTTAATATCACTATTATTCATGAATAAAGCGTATAGGATGTGGGAGTGGGAGTTAATTTATAGAAATACTAAAGAGTAAAGACATATAATTTTTTAATAAGATCTAATCTAGATTTTAACTCTTTGATATGGTCTAGTAATTACTCAACTTACTTAAACAATCTTAGTAACATTCTTTATAAATTCAAAAACAATTCCTTATGTTATCAATTGTGCTAATTTTAGAGATTCTTTTTGGTTCAAGACTATAGTCTATGAGTCGATTCTCTTACCATCAGGCGTGATAATAGATATAGATTATGTATATTTGTGATATTTTAAATAATATTATCAACAGCCCACCTTTTTTAAATTTAATTGGATTTAGTATCCCTTTTAATAATACACATAATTCTGATTTGTTGTGTATACTTAAATTTAATATAAATTATGGCAATAATTAATTTTTTTTTTTAAGAGCTTTTTTAAACGCCAATAAAATCTCTATAGTCTTAGATATATTTTATTCTATCTCGCTAAGTCTTTAAAGGTAAAATTATGTTATTTTTACAACATAGAGCTTAATTATTCGATATTTTGTTTTTATATAATTTTTTTTTCCTAGTCTTTATGTTAATTTTATTTGTATTATTATTACTATGTCTATTAGTTTTAATGTGTCAATAACTATGTAATATTTTGATAAAGAGCTTATGCTCGTTGGTTAATATAAATAAATATAAGTGAAATGCATATTTACATTTATTATTTACTATTCGAAGTCAGAAGACCTAAACATATAATATTATTAAAGCATTGTTTAAAAAAATGCATTTGAAATATTTAATAGGTATTTTACTCAATAATTATTGTAGGAATTATTATTAAGTCTTGTAATATTATTTATACATATTGGTCATTTATATGGATAAGATAAATACATTCTGAATTAGTTTTTTTTTAGTGTAATTTTTATACAATTTAGGTCTGTTTTAGGAAACATATATAATAGGTATTATTAACTTATATACGTAAATAGTAAATTAGAATTACTATTATTCTATATATTAATCTTTTTATCTTTTATTATATTATTGTTATCTATACAAATATATTGTGAATTGGACTTTTGTCCGTAAAATGAATAAATGAAAAATGAAAAAAAAAATGAAAAATGAATGCAGAAACGGGAAAATCATTACGGGAAAGTCAAACGGGAAGAAATATTTTTTTAATTATTTTGGTCGTATGTATCTAATGCTTACACATCGATGTAATTATCTTTAAAGCTTTATATATTTAACTTGAAATGCTTAATCAAAAAAATATTCTCAAAGCTTTTAGAATTACTTAGATACCTACCTATGTCATATTTATTTATCTTTATTTGTTAAATTCTGGATCCATAGCTTGATTCCAGTACCTAACCTAAGGTGGGCTCTTCCAACTATAAACTCTATCATGATATCTTGTATAAATAAATTAGGTGATCGGTGGTACTGTAAATAGATACTCAGTACTAACTACTTAGTAGATATGAAAATATGAAATCAAATTGCGGGTGAAGTAATCTCTTTTTTTAACGTATTAATTTAATATTTTATAAGTAATGAAACATTAAGTTGAGTAGGTAGATACACGTAAATCTAAGTTATTTCAGCGAAAATGAGCGTATTTTACTATCATGGCCGGGTGTCAACATTTTTTGATTTGGCCCTCAGATTAAATATGCACGTATTATATTTAGAACAATGTAGGTATATAGACCGTAGCCATAAAAAAATATTGAGAACAATTTT